CACCGGTGGCAGGCCAGGAAAGGGGTCAGAAAACTAACTCATTCATGGTAATAAAAGATAGAAAGTGCTTGCCTGGGTAGAGAGAAGCAGTGGAATTGAGTGAAAAGGGGCTCCTAGAGCAATCCTGAGTCTCCTTTAGAATGGAAGTTACAAGTAAACATACTTAAAACTCAATGAACTGAGCACGTAAGAATGTACTTCTGTAGGAAGATTACGCCTCAGTAATAACAAACGCTATAACCATAATCCTCAGGGAGAGAGGAAAAAAGAACAGAACTCAAAGAGGGAAATTAGAACCCAGGAGAAATTTCCCCACCTGGGAACCAGATGGATTTGAGTATTACGAGAAAAGGAAATTGACATCTTCTATTTGCATGACCTTAATCTACACTCCTGACCCTAATCTAGACTCCTGTATCAGCTTTATCTCCAAACCAAAAGTGTTTAGCTAAAAAACAGACAACAATGGATTGTGATTAGCCCAGAAAGTGAGATACTTACGTGACAGGACTCAAGTGAATGAAAGATTTTACGTCAAGTGTGGACGGTCGGTCAAAAGATGCTAAAGGGTTGGGTCCAACCAAGAGGCACAGGAAGGACAAGGAGGTGAGAGAAAAGCAAGGAATGCAGGCAAGATGAGAGCATTGATCCCTCTGTCATCCTCAACCTTCTCCACAGTAAAGGAATACAACTCTTACAAGTCATATTTAACTTAACTGGATTTGTGATGCCACCACTTGTGATGCCTCACTCCCACTCATATCAGAGTGCCTGCTTGATTTTTAAAAAGAGATTTATTTTTATTTAGAAAGTAAATATTTGCAGAGAAATAAGGAGAAACAAAAATCTTCCATCTGCTGGTTCACTACCAAAATAACCTCAAAGTCAGAGTTGAGCTGATCTGAAGTTGGGAGCCTGGAGCTTTTCCCAGGTCTCCCACATGGAGAGTGCCAAGGAATTGGAACTTCCTCTGTTTTCCCAAGCCATCAGCCAAGAGCTGGAGCAGCCAGAACATGAACCAGTGCCCATATGGGATGCTGGCACCACAGGTGGAGGATTAACTTGATATGCCATCACACCAGTCGCACACATACTCCGTTTCTGATCTAGCTACCTGCTGGAAGATGGCTCAAGTGCTTAGGCCCCTGTATCCATGTGGGAGACTCAGATGCAGCTCCTGACTCCTGGCTTCACCCTGTGGCAGCCATTTAGGGAATGAACCAGTAGACAGAAGGTCAGTGTCTACCTTACTCTCCTGTGTCACCGTGCCTTTCAAATAAATCTTTAAAAAAAAAAAAGGAAGGAAGGAAGGAAGGAAGAAGGAAGGAAGGAAGGAAGAAAGAAAGAAAGAAAGAAAGAAAGAAAGAAAGAAAGAAAGAAAGAAAGAAAGAAAGAAAGAAAGAAAGAAAGAAAGAAAGAAAGAAAGAAATTACCCCAGAAAATGAGATAAATGAGATACTTGAGAAGTTAAAATCTGAGCCTGGCGCCATGGCCTAGTGGCTAAAGTCCTCGCCTTGATCGCACCAGGATCCCATATGGGCTCCGGTTCTAATCCTGGTGGCCCTGCTTCCCATCCAGCTCCCTGCTTGTGGCCTGGGAAAGCAGTCAAGGACGGCCCAAGGCTTTGGGAACCTGCACCCACGTGGGAGACCTGGAGGAGATTCCTGGTTCCTGGCTTTGGATCAGCACAGCACTGGCCGTTGCAGTCACTTGGGGAGTGAATCATCGGACAGAAAATCTTCCTCTCTGTCTCTGCTCCTCTCTGTATATCTGGCTTTGTAATAACAATAAATAAATCTTTAAAAACAAAAAGAAGTGAAAATCTGCCACTGAAATATTTTAAATAAGGGTGGGCTTTTGGTACATGGTTAAAACACCACTTGGCATGCCTGGATATCACATTCACGTGCATGGGTTCCTGTCTTGGCTCCATCCTCCACACCAGCTGCCTGCCAGTGTTCACTGGGAGGCATGGTATTTGAGTCCCTGCCACCCACAGATGACATTCAGATTGAGATCCAGTTCTTGGCCTTAGCCTGAGCTTTTCCAGCATTTTAAGGGTAAACCAGTGACTTTCTTTTTGAAATAAATATTTTTTATTTTTTAAGATTCATTTTTATTGGAAAGTCAGATACACAGAGAGGAGGAGAGACAGACAGGAAGATCTTCCATCCGATGATTCACTCCCCAAGTGACCACAATGGCCAGTGCTGAGTCAATCTGAAACCAGGAGCCAGGAGCTCTTCCAAAGTCTCCCAAACGAATGCAGGGTCCCAAGGCCTTGGGCCGTCCTCAACTGCTTTCCCAGGCCACGAGCAGGGAGCTGGATGGGAAGTGGAACTGCCGGGATTAGAACTGGCACCTGGATCCTGGGACGTTCAAGGCAAGGACTTTAGTCGCTTGGCCACCGCACCAGGCCCGAAATAAATCATTTTAAAATGTGTGTGCTTTTTGTTTGTTTTGTTTTTAAATTTGAAAGATCTACAGAAACATGGAGGAAAAGAGAAGACCTTCCAGTCACTGGTTCACTCACCAATCACAACAACTGGAGCTGAGCTGATCTGAAGCTAGGAGTTGCCAATTTCTTCTGGGTCTCCCAAGGAGACCCAGATCATCTTCTGCTGCTTTTCCAGGCCATAAGCAGGAAACTGGACTAGAAGTGGAGCCACCAGGACACAACAAGCGCCTATTGAGAATACTGGCGTTTGCAGGCAGAGGATTAGCCTGTTCAGCCACCATGCCAGCCCCTCTCTGCCTTTCAATTAAAACAAAACTTTTTTTTTTTTTAAATAAGGATGTACTTATTCATTTGAAGAGTTACAGGGGCCTGTAGTAAAATATTGCAACTCCAGGTCAGTGAGCATAGGATTACAATTGATGGATAACATTTGTATGAGAAGAACTGAATGGATACCATTTTGTGTAACTGAGTGGATAGCATTGCAATGAAAACACTTGGTGGGATATACAAAAGAGTTCCAAACAAGGGTATGGAAACTATTGATGGGTCCTTTGGATAAGCTCAATACCTCCTTCCTTATCCTATGTGACCCTCAGTCTATAAAAGTTTGATGCCACTAATAAACTTCTGCTATTGACCATCAATCAATAGTCCACATGTGTTATTATCAGCTCGGTGCACCAAGTGATTGCTGAAGGACAGCGTAGAGGGCCCAGCACAGTAGCCTAGCGGCTAAAGTCCTTGAGTTATAAGCACCGGAATCCCATATGGGTGCTGGTTCTAATCCCGGCAGCTCCACTTCCCATCCAACTCCCTGCTTGTGACCTGGGAAAGCAGTCAAGGATGGCCTAAAGCCTTGCGACTCTGCACCCATGTGGGAGACCCGGAAGAAGCTCCTGGCTCCTGGCTTCAGATCGGGGCAGCACTGGCCATTGTGGCCACTTGGGGAACGAAATCAGCAGTTGGAAGATCTTCCTTTCTCTATGTATCTCCTGTCTGTATAGCTGTCTTTCCAATAAAAATAAATAAATCTTTAAAAAAAAAAAAAAAAGAGAGAGCGAGAAGCTACTGGTTTACTCCCCAAATAACCGCAACAGCCAGAGCTGAGCTGAAGCCAGGAGCCCAGAGCTTCTTCTGTCTCCCACATGGATAAAGAGCCTCAAGCACCTGAGCAATCCTCTACCGCTTTCCCTGACACATTGGCAGAAAGCTGGATCTGAAGTGGAACAGCCCCATAAATAAGCATTTGTTTAAAAGATAGAGGGTAGGATTTGATCAAACCATAGACCATGCTAAAGGGGAAGTTATATACCTACTGTATTGTTGAATTCTGTAACTTATTATTGTCTTATAATCTTATGTATATTATTATATCTTATTTTCAGTAAGTTTGTGCTATTTCATTAAAAAAAAAGACTTATTTTTATTTTAAAGGCAAAGTTGCAGAGAGGAGAGATACAGATCTTCCATCTACTGGTCTACCCCATAAAAGGTCACAATGGCTGGTCTAGACATAGGAGCCAGGACACTACCATAACATGATTTAAAGCAGGTAGCAACAGATATATGGGCTGTGGACTCAAGTTAAATTTGTACTTAAATCATCATATTCCCTAGCTAACAGCTTTGTGATTTTCAACTAGTTACCTAGCCTATTTATATATCCCAGTTCTCAAACCTATACAATAAGGGTAACAGGGACTTTTCTGAACTTGTGTTTTGTGCATTTGGTTAATATGATGCTAACATTAAATAATAAACACCTGTTTGAATCTCAAAAAAAAAAAAAAAATAGGAACCAGGAACTTCTTCCAAGCCTCCCATGTGGAGGCAGAATCCCAAGGACTGAGCAATCTTCTTCTGCTTTCCCAGGCCATAAGCAGGGAGCAGGATGGGAAGTGAAGCAGCCAGAATATAAATTGGTGCCCATATGGGAAGCTGGCACTACAGAGGTTTAGCTGAATATACCACAGTGTTGGCCACCTATTTCGTTATTTTTAACCAATTAATATTTGTTAAACACAGTGGGGAATCAGATCAGTGTTAATAGAAAGACCCGTTAGGGTGGCCTAGGAAGCGTTCCTCATATGTCATCCGTAGCAGGGAGAAATGGTAGGGATGAGGGCCCCATCCTTTTCCCTCAGCCAAAGGTTGCCCTTTTATTTTCTCAACTCAGGAAACAAGCTGAGAAAAGTGACGTTGGGACTGAGGAACTGAAGGAGTATCTGGGAACATTTGGCCCACGGGCCATATGAGAGCCACAAAGTCATTTAGTCTGATGCTGCCAAGGCAACCACAAGCAGGACTTGTAGCCATTGGGGAGTGAATCAGCAGACCCAAGGGCTTCCTCCTTGCATATCTGACTCCCCTACCCCACCTCCGCCCAAAAAAATCTAGGTCAGCATTAAGCTACTTGCAACCTTGGCTCCTAACATCCAAAAGGGAGACCAGATGGAGTTCCAGGCTCCTGGCTTTGACCTGAACCAGCTCCAGTTATTGCAGCCATTTAGGGAGTGAACGTGTGGATAAAAAAATCGATCTATCTCTGTGCCTTTCAAATACATATTTTTTTTTTAAGTTTAAAGGACATATAACCCGCTTCAAATATTCTGTCAAACAGTACATAAACAAAAGGCAGGGGTGTGGTACAGCCAATCAGAACCGTGGGGTGGTGAAACAGTGGAACTTGTTGCTGATTGGATATCAGAAGCACCTGACAGCTCACCAAAGCTCCAAGCCCCAGATTCTCAATGTGGAATAAGTCAAACTTTTTTTTTCCTCCCCTTGAGCTGCTAGAGTCTGATGTGCATCCTGGGCCTCTAAAAAGAAACCTGTAGTTTCTCTCAAACAGAATTTGGGGCTTGGGGGTGTAGAGTTTAAGGATGCTGAACAGATAAATGATCCAGGAAGTCTAAATCAAACACGTGATGATGACTGGAGCGGTCTCTGGTCCACCTGACAAATGAATGCTTTGAATGCCTTGAGGAAATGCTCTTTATTGGATATTTTCATGTGCACTGGAATGCTGCCCCAGCCCCAGCAGGTCAGCCCCTTCATCCTCCTCAGTTGGGGCATCCACAGCATCACTCGCCACCTGCTCCCTAACCCTGTTTCTCCAACCATTCTCTATAGGCCCCAGCGTAGTTTCGTGCCCTGTAGAGACAAGAACAGTGGAAAGGCAGGCCCAGCAGGCAGTCCCCAACGCCTTCCCAAGGGTCAGCCAGGCCTGTCCCCTACCCTATGTATCCAAGCTTCTGGGCCAGCTGTGTGGCCAGGGAGCCCCGCCTGCCCATCTGACAGAAGAAAATGAGATTTTCATCTTGCAGCTTTGGCTTCTGAGCTGAATACAGAGCCTGGAAAGCAGCTGGCTCCATCTGCAAGGCACTTTCCAACTCTGACACTGGGAGGAGTGGAGAGGACACAGGCAAAAACCCGTGGTTTAGTACCCTGGGTGTCAGAAGCCGAGCCTGGAAGAGCTGAGCCCCCTCCAATGGGCCTCAAAACAACAGGATGTCCCAACCCCCACCTAAAGCAGCAACTTACAGCTCAGGAGGTCAACCAAACAACCTTTGACCCCAGCCACTTCCTGCTGTGAGGAGGTGCCCGGTTTGGCACCCAGCCCCGGGAGGTCGGGTATAAAGAAATTGGTTGGCCCCTCTCCCCACCAGCCAACTACCCCTCAAACTGGATGGGCTGGTTCTGCTGCCAGGACCTGCTTCCAATCAGTCCTTTTCTCAGGAAACTGAGGGATGGCTTAAAGAGGGATGCCGGATCCCTGGTAACCATGCTTTGGGAAACCTTGCTAAGCCCCCCACTAATGGTGCTAGTCTAACATGGGGATGGACCTCCCTTCTCCATGCAATACCCGGGATGTTGATTGCCCCTGGGATGGTCCCAGCTGCTGCTTCCTCCCGAGATCGCACATCGAAGAGCTGGGCCCGGCCGGACGCTAGGAGTGAACAGAGTTCAGGGAACGAGACGCCAGGTGCTGAGGAAGGGAGCACGAGTGCATTCAGGGATGGGGTTCCCAGGGCTGAGTTCCCCAGGGGGCTCAGTCCCCGGGCTGAGTTCCAATCCAGGGAGGTATGCAAGATCTTAGTCCCTTGCCACGCCCCCACCCCACCTCCTCACCACCCCTGCCCCCCTTGGCTCCTTATTGGACAAGGTAAGGTCTCAGTATAGCCTGCAGGTACCTCCAGCCATGGTGCAAGCCGCAAATCGCAGGAATAAAGCCAAGGCCCTCCCCCGCGGTGTCCTCTCCCTTCAGAAGCTGCCCAGAACCGGAAGTGAAGGGCCAGCCTCCTGCTCCACCCCCACAGCACCTGTTAGTGGTGCTTGACGCCAGTTCACAGGAGACACCATAGCAATTCCCCAGCGTGTGCAAGAAAAAACTCATTCATCTGGCACAGGTACTGGGACCCAGCAATTCACCCTAAACTCCACCCAGCCATTAATGGTTCAAGAGCTTCAGATGCCCTCCCTTCTGCCCTGGGGACCGCAAAAAAGAGACAACCATGGCTCTGAACAATTTTATCTTAAAAAAAAGAAAGGAAAAAAAAAAAAAAAAGGAAGAAAACCAACCCCTAAGGGGGAAGGCCCCAAGTGGGCCCCTGCCTGCTCTTCTCCCTGGCTCCAGAGATTTCTGCATAGGCCTTGACTGCCCGCTGGCTGTTCTCCGTGGGGCAGCAGCCATTGCTCAGCATCCTTCTTCCCCTCCTTACTTTTCAGTCTGTTCCCCAGAGCTGCCAGCCAGGCAGGTGTGGCTGAACCTCCACCCCAGGGAAAGACCCACCGGAAGTGCCCAAGTCCTGTGACAAGCCAGAGCACACCCGGCAGTCAGCAGATCCCCTGCTGGGCACTCTAGGCAGGCACAGGGCAAGGCCCCCGGTTCAGTGTGTCCAGGATCCAGCATGGGGACAGCACATGCACTGTGCAAGAGGAGCATGAGAACCCAGGGGCTGCATGGTAGGGGTAGGCGAGGCTGTCAGGGCACGTCCACACTGTGTGTTTCACACCACTGCAGTCTGCCATATCACAGGGCCTCAGTTCAAAGACACGCCTTCCGAACTCCCCCCACCCCCAGTTCCATGCCAGGATTGGGCAGTGAAGGAAAGGGGCATGGGATTAGCCTGGTGCTCCTGGGCTAGCTGTAGTTCCTGGGCCCAAAGCCCTTGAATCCCCAGTTAGTTGCTGTCATTCTTGATGACGACCTCTAGTCCGTGGTGCCGCAGCTGAGCTCGTAGCAGCAGATTTTTGTTTTTTAGGTCTTCCACCTGCCAAGGAAAGAGGTCGTAAGGGGACTGGGATAGGAAAGTTTCACACTGCCAGGCTCCTGAACTTGGCCAGAGGTGCCTGGTGGCATGGAGACCAAGTGAGGGACGAAGAACACAAGGGGTCTGACACTGGCTCAGTGGCTGTGGGGGTGAGGGGGCTCCACCAGGGGTGGGCGCCTGACCTGCTGTCGAAGCACATCATTGTCCAGCTGCAGCTGGTCAAGCCCCTGCAGTTCTTCAGATAACCGGTGGTTACTCTGCCGCAGCTCCTGGATGTAGTCACAGGCTTTGGAAAGAATCCCACCTTTACTCTGCAAGACAAAGCCAACAGAGTGAGGATGGGCCTCTGGGCCACCGGCCTGTCCAAAAGAATGTTCCCACTTTGGGCCTCGCTGTCCCCTCAAGCAGGTTATGTAACATCTCCCAGGGATACAGGAAGCTCAGAGGGAGGTGAGAACAGACTGCAAGCAATGCCAGGAGACAGAATGGAGGCATCCTGCCCACTCCCAGGGTCCTTCGGTGACCTGGCCAGACTTGGTGCTCTCCATAGAACAGTCTGGGATGATCTTGGACAGCTGCACAATCCAGTTGTTGATCTTGTCTCGGCGGCGGCGCTCCACTGTGGAGCAAAGGGGAGAGCAAAGTGACTCCAGGAGAGCGCACCACAGCCCAGGGTAGAACTACCTAAACCTCGTCCCTGCCAGATGTCACCCACGGCCCCAACTTCCCCAGGCAGCTCCCAGCTTCACACTCGACTAGAACCCACCTTCATTGTGCTGAGCCCTGCGTTTCTCATCCCGAGTCGTCCGAGGGGCCTCCGACTTCCTGATAACCCCAAGCAGTCAAAGAATGGAAAATGAGATTATGGGCCGCTGTTGTGGTACTGCACATTAAGCTGCTGCTTGCAGCACTCTAATCCCACATTAGAGTGCCAGTTTAAGTCCAGGCTACTCTAATGTCAACCCAGCTTCAGGACAATGTTCCTGAGAAAACAGCCAAAGATGGCCCGAGTATTTGGCCCCCTGCCACCCATATGGGAGACCAGGATGGAGTTTCTGACTCCCAGCTTCTGTTGGGCCCAAATGGCTGTTGTGGCCATTTGGGAAGTGAGCCAGCAAATGGAAGCAATGGATCCCTCTCTCTCCCTCTGCTGTTCTGCTTTTCAAATAAAGAAATCTTAAAACACACACACACACACACAAAAAAAAAAAAAACAGAAGAAGATGATTCGACATTTACAGCAGAAAATTATTGTGGCACAGACGGTTAAGCTGCCTCTTAAGACCCTTCTCAGAGTGCTAGTTCAAATCCCGGCTACTCTGCTTCTACTCCAGCTTCCTGCTAATAATGCTCCTGGCACTGAAAGGCAACAAATAATGGCCCAGTACTTGGTTTCCTGCAACCCATGTGAAGACTCCGGTGGATACCTACTGCAGGCATTTGCAGAGTGAATCAGCAGACGGAAGATGTATCTCTCTCTATCACCCCTTCAAACAAATCAATCTCTTAAAAAACACCACTACTCAGGGTAACAGAGAAGCAAAACAGTCACTCACGGGGAGTAAGGATGAGTCCTAGGCGCAATGGAGCGCTGGCTTCCTCCCTGCAACACTTCTTGTGGCGACATCATCACAAAGAACTGACCTGTGAAGATGCAGGAGAGCTTGTGTCAGGACAAGAACATCACCACGCCCTGGGGCCAAGACCCTGGGATCCTCCTCTGAAAAGAACAGGCTTCCTCCTACTAGCAGGAGAGCAGGAGAGCAGGAGAGGCCGCCTCACTGCCTGCCCAGGTCTAGAGAAGGCCCACTGCCCACCAGCCATGTCCCATGGCCTATCCTAGCCCCTCCAGCCAGCATCCTCACGCGATATCTCACCAGTGCCAGGAGGGGTTGCCTGCCCCAGTAGTGCCTCTGAGCCCTGGGTAGTAACAACAGCAGCTGTACTCCCCGATGTGGTACCTCCTGCCCCATCTCCCACTGCAGTGCTGGGGAAGTAAGTATAGTGCGTCTCAGCAGCTGTCCCCTCTGTGTCAACTGCATCATCACTGGTGAAAGCACCCTGGATCACGGCCTAGAGAGGAGAGCAAGAGAGCAGAGTCCAGCGACCTTCGGCTACTTCTGCCCACTGTCCAATCTGTAGCTTCTATCCCTTGGGATAGACGGCAGAGAAACATCTCTAGAGGAAGAGCCCTGGGTCAAGGCAGCCCTAGAACCTCGCTGCTCCCAGCTCTACTCCCTATCCTGTGAGTTCCCTTCTGTCTCCCACTACTTAGAAATCTAGTTGCCTGCCAAGCCCAAGTACCTGGGTCATGGATTGAGTGGCAGGGTAGCCACTGATGGCGCCGGTACCCTCAGTCTGGCCATCCAGTTGCCCTTCAGACACCTGGATCACCCTGTACATCACCTAAAAGCAGAGGGGAAGGGGTGAAAGAGGAAGAGAGAAGTAAATGCCAGAACACCTCACAAAACTTTCCCCCAGAGAAGGCCCCAAAGCAAGACCCACTCAGAGACAGTCAGCCCTTCTCCCTTCCCTCCCCACACGGAGGGTTCGGCATACCCCTGGCCCACCCCAATCTCTACTCCAAATCTCACAACAGCACCCCACCCCTTCCCCAACAGACCACATGTTCACCCTCCAAGCCATATCTCCCCAACCCACATTCATCACCTCCCTCAATCCCAACCCCAAGTAACACCTGCAGCCACCTGGTTCCCTCCCTTACCTGGCCCCCATTCTCAGTTCGGAAGACGTACTTGACGTTGGGGTCAGGGAAGGTAGCAGCTGACTGGATGCTGGCGATAGCCACACTGGTTGGGTCCTCCCCAGTAGCTACTGCACCTTAAGCAACAAAGCAAAGGTCTCTGAGCTAACTGCCTTTCTCTCTGTCCCAGCTGTGCACCACTTGGAGGAAGTCGAGTGGGAGGGAAGGACGCCTCGATGGTTCTTGGTCTTAGTTCTAACACTCACCTTCCTGAATCTGTACCGTCCCCTCTTCCGTTTCAGCTGTTTTCTGCTGCCTGTTTGTGGGAAAAGGGCAAAAGAAAGAATTAGGGAAAAGGGAATGAGAAGTTCACTTGCCCAGTAGCACACAACTCTCAAAATCCACTGGCATTCCCAACAGATGTTGGGTCTAGTTAGAACAACAACTAGTGGCTAAAGCCCTAGCCTTGCACATGCCAGGATCCCATATGGATGCCAGTTCTTATTCTGGTTGCTCCACTTCCCTTCCAGCTCCATGCTCGTGCCCTGGTAAAGCAGCCAAGATGGCCCAAAACCTTGGGACCCTACACCGGTGTGGGAGACCAGGAAGAGGCTCCAGGCTCAGCTCCGGCCGTTTCGGCCACTTGGGGAGTAAACCAGTGGATGGAAGATCTTCCTGTCTCTCCTCTTCTCTGTAAATCTGACTTTGCAATAAAAATAAATCTTTAAAAAAGCAGTATTTACTATGCACCTAGGCATTAAGTTAAGCACTTAACATGTACTATCTTATTAGTAGTAAAAACAGCACTACAAGGCAGGCAGCACCACCTGCATCCTGCAGATGGGAAACCAGATGACAGAGCTGGCCCCAGATCCAGGTCAGCCCAACTACACAGCTGGGACTCTTGAGTGTCTGCAGATCTCCCAGGTCAACCCCCTCCCAGCCCAGACCCCAGCTCTTCTTCACTCACCCCTTCATCTCTCTGTGAGGGGGCACATCCGAGGAACCGGTCCTTTTGGGTAGTCTTCCTATGTCCTGATTCGCAGGCCTGAATACTAAGTCCTGGTAGAAATCACGGGGTTTGCAGTGAGTGTAGGATGGAACAGCCGCCCTAGATTTGGAACCAAGGCTCCTTGAAAACACAGCCAGGAAGATAACCCAGCCACCTACAAGGTAGCTTCCCCCATTCCAATTCTGAGGGCCGGTCTGTTTGAAAAGGCAACCAACCCTACAAATAGTGTTGCTCATCCCTTCATTATCACTCCGGGTCTTGCTGGAGAAGGGGTCATTACCCCGGAAGACTGAGCCACAACACATTTCTGAAAGGATTATTATTAAAGCTCTGACACTCTCTCTGGACAGCATACTTCGAGGGGCTCTTGAGGGGTCAGGCTTAGACCACCATTACCAAAACACAGGCTCCTGGACACTCATTCCACCTTCTCAGCCACACAGTACAGAAATTTCTGTTCTCCAGGCTAGGAAGGGGGGGGGGCACATGAAACCGTGACCCCTGAAACAGGGATGCTAATCACAAAGGCTTGGCCCTTGGGCTCCTTTCTACTGAAAGGGCTCTTGTTTGGGGAGTTGAGGAGGGGGTTGCCCAGACTTATATCATGTGTTAGAAAACCTACAGTCCAAGCGCATTTGCTTCAAGCCCTCTTTATTATTATTCATTAAGCCTTCCTGTAGAACACGGTTGCTAAAACGTTGCCATGACAACTCCAAATCAACGGAGCCTTAGCAGGGGGTGGGAGTGAGGGGGAAACCCAGGCTCTGGCTTCCGAAGGAGAGGAGACAATGGGGGAGGAATCCAGCTAGGAGGTGCCTGCCTTAGGACCCTGACACCCAGCCAGAAGACAGAAAAAAAAAAAACAAAGGGCTGAGCAGGCAGCTGCAGAAAGAAAAACAGCCACACAGTAGTACAAAGCAGCAAACGAAAAGGACAAGATGTCTGGAAACCCTCCCTCCATGGGAAAAAACCTTCAGCTGAGAAGCCTCGGAAAGCCCGGGTCCAAGGAAAATGGTAACAAGAACAATAACAAGGAACTGAAAGTGAAACTGTGTGGAGGAAGTAAATGCAATGAGATCCCAGCCCCTCAGAGGAAGCAGTGTTGGCGTTATGGGACCACCTACGGCTCCATCCTCAAACCTGAGCGCTAAGTGCCCCCCGAGGCTCGCGCGTCGACTGCAGGAGGAAGCAATGAAAGAGAAGGCAGAGAGCAGAAGACACTTCTATCACCCACAGCTGTCAGCCAAGGGCAGCCGCCGAGGCCACCAACGACCGGGTCGAGCTACTTATTCAGACCTCAGTTTGGATGTCCGGAAGCATTTCCTGAGGCTTAGGGTTCTGTGACACGGACACGGGGATAGGATGTTATGCTGTGCACGCCCAGGAAGGAGGGTCCAGCAAGACCCCTCGCCACGCTGCACACAAAGCGGGCTGGGGGAGGGATCAAGCTCGGAAAGAACGCAGGCCGCCCGGATCTCGCCCGAGAATCGAGTGTCTTCCCCAAGGCCCACCAAGCAGCAAGGCGGGCGCTCCCCCGGCCGAGTGCCCGCGAGGCGAGCGCGCGCCCCGGGAACCCGCGCCGTGACCCGGCCAGCCCCGCCACACTCGGCCCGCGCCGCGGCTGCTTCGAGAAGGAAGCAGCAAAGGGGCGCCGGGGACTCGGCGGCCGGCTGGAGACAGCGCAGGAGGGCCGGGGGCCAGCGTGGCCCACAGAGCGGGGCAGCAAATAAAAGGACCAGGGGCGACCCCCTCCCCCAAAACAAAGGCTTCTTTCCCAAGAGGTTCCCACCCCGAAAAAAGGGACACTGGACCAAAGCAGCGCCGCCTGGCCGACCCAGCCAACCTCCAGACTGTCGTCTGGCCCTGCACTCACCGGTCCGGGTCGTCTCAGCCGCCGATTTCTGCCCGACCGTGTTCTCCCTCTCCGGCCCCAAGTCGCTCCATAGACAGCTGCTCATGCGCACTCCCAGCCCTGGGCCATGTTGGTGAGGGGCGGAAGTGTGTTTCTCGACCCGCCCATCCCGTTTATAGCCTCTGAGTCGCTCCACTTCCGCTGGCTCCATCTTGACGAGAGCTGGAGGCCTGCGGGGTGTGTGCGGGTGGTCGCGGAGGGATAGTGATGGAGACTGTTGCTTAAGTCCAGGCCACTTTTCGGCGAAGGCCGGACAGGGGGCTAGCGTGTACTCTCTCCCTGCCAGGCAGGGCTTTAATTCCAGAAAGAAGAGTGAGGCGGCAGGCGATGATCCAGGGAGGGAGGGTGTCGGATGGCGGCGCCATCTTTAACAAGGGCTGTTTGGGTGGCCATGTTGGAACAGGGCTTTTAAAAAATAATAATAATAAGAGTTTCATACTGGAGATTGAGACATCTCAGGGTGTGTATGGATCTAAGGCTTTTAGTTCTCTTAAGGCTCATTGTTTGTTTGATAAGATGGATTTCCATACTTCTTTAATGGGTTTAGATTAGGATAATGGGAAAAATTCAGAATCTCGGATGTTTGAAACCTGGTTCTCAAATTCACTTCTCCTTATCTCTGAGATCTTGTAAGTATCTTAATTGAGCTTGCCTTTCCTCATCTGCAAGTTTCCTACAGTTTCCTACCTTCAAAATTAAGTGGATTAAATAAGATGCAAAGATTCTATACACAGAGACTACTTAGCTCAGTCACTGGTGCATAATAAGCATTATGTAAATTGGAGTTTCTCTTCCCCATTTCCTGACCACCATGAACCCAGCTCTAGTTTTCAGTCCCAAGTCTCCATGACAACCGAGCAACAGCCCAGAACAAGAGCTGGAGTTAGTTAGCTCGTGGAATATTTGAGACTAGGATACTGATCGATCACCCACGGTTTGAGTAAGGAGACTGCATACCGCTTCCATGTAAAAACACGAGTTTTATTCTGAGATATCAAACAGTGAGACCCATTCCCTCCGCCTGCCTGGAGAAGCAATTCCTGAAATAGGAAGACATTTCCATAGGAAAAAGGCCAGAGATCTGCATGAGATCTCTCTCCTGCAGTGTGCTGGGAGGCACACAGTGAGGCTGCTGCAGTGCATGCCCTCCATTACACAGTGACGGCTTCAGGGAGCTCCCTGGTGGGCCTATCCCTCATCTGGCACTAAGAGGTTCAGAAGGTATCCAAGGATCCGGGGCAGCTCAAGAACTGTGCAGGAAAAGCTCTGACCGGGCCCTGTCCTCACCTCTATCCTGGGCTTCTTCGGTCAAGAGAAAACCTTGAAACTTTTTTGGCTACCCTGTTTTTGCTTTGGCAATGACCTCACTCCCTAGGGTTGTAAGAGATTGGTGCTGTGGATCTGAGACAAGCTCAGGTAAACCAGCCAGAAAGTGCCTCCTGTGGTCAAAAAGAGAAAGTAGAGGAGGGGCTGAGTCCACGGAATTTGGCACTACTGTGGCTTAGGCTGCGGGAGAGACAGCCAGAGACCCCAAGGACTCCAGAGAATTTTCAGGTCCCTTTTTCCCAATATGTGGTCCTAATCACAATCTCTCACCTTTCTCGTGGTTAGCCTGTGCTTCAAATGCATAGGACCTGCGCTGAGGAGACAGGAGGAGGTCAGGGGGCTGGGCTTCTCTGAGGGGCAGGCTAAACCGACTTCGGGATGCTGAGGCTTCCGTGCCTTCAGGTGGGAGTTCCAGGAAGCTAAGGGGTCGAGGAGAATGGGCAGGGGTCATGCCACAGAGGGAGGTTCTGGGGATGAGGCTGTAGTCCCCACCCCCAGTACAGGTCTGGGTGCGCCGAACTCCCTGAGCCTCCGTCCTCTGGCGGTCCCGGGCCAAGGCCACAGCGGCATCAAAGGAAAGACTGCCACCATTCCTCCAAGAGGAGCGGGAAGCTCGGGAACTCCAAGCCCTTTCCCCAGGAGTCCCATCAAGCCGGCCGGGCCTTGGGCATGGGTTTGCAGGGGCCACGTGGATCTTGCTGCACATTGCACTGGGGATCTTGGCGAACTGTGGTTTGGGAGGCACCACTGGCACAGAGTGGACCTGTTGGACCTGAAGCTGGGTAGAAGCCAGACGCATACCCACACCACCCGCTGAACCAATGGGACAGGAACACAGAGTGTGACCCTCAGAGCTGGACTGCCCCGCAGTCTCCAGCTCCTCTGGTTGGGATGGTTGTGGGACAACCTGTTCTGCATCAGAAGGTAGGACATTGCCCTCTTTGGCACTGTCAGCCCCTAAGAACTTCTTGCCTGATCCATCCTGGAGGGACCCATCCAGGAGGACCTCCTCTTCTAAATGGTAATCTGTAGTTTTCTGATCTCCCTCAGCCACACTGCCACCACTCTCTGGCTGCCTGGGGACCTCCCTTCCTCCTCCAGCTACTTCTAAGTCTCTGCTGCCTTCACCATCTCCTTGGTCTGCTTCTGTCCCATGGTTTCCATCCCCACTCTGTCTTTTGACCTCATCCTCCGTGCTTTCTTCAATGTCCTGTTTGTGTACGACTTCCCAGTTCTCAGCAGCCAGGTGTTCCTGGACCGCACACTCTGAGTAGCTTCCAGCTTCTGTCTGTGCTTCCTCTCCTCCCTTGGCCTCCGCTTCGCTCTTGGTCTCTTTTTTCTTCTCCTGGTCTTTATCCTGTTCTCTCCCTGGTTCCTCCACACTCAGAGTTTCTTCCATATTATCAGCCTCCTTATGTCCTTTGGATTTTTCTCCCTTGGCCTCTGACTCCTCCCCACTTCCTTCGACTGAGCTGACCATCAGCTCTTGGCTGCTCACAGCCTCCTGTTCTTCCTCATCTGCCTTTCCAACATCTGTCTCGATCTCTGGGCTCCCTTCAGCTTCTTCCCTGACAGCACCTCCGCTTGCAGGCTCAGCCTGCTTGTCCTCCTCTACCTTCCCACATGCCTGTTCTTCCTCAGCTGGTCCTGGAGTCTGTCTTCCACACCCTCTTCCTGCCTCTTCCTGCCTGTTTTCTGCACCCTCCCAGGTTGAGGATTTAGGCCCCAGAAGGGGACTTAGGTCATCATAGGCACTCAAGTAAACTTCCTCCCCATTTTCCTCCTCTGCTTCAGGCCTGGGGCCCACTGAGTCCAGCGAACAGCAGCTGGGAGCCAGGACGTACTGTGCCTCATCCAAAGACAGATCATCCAAGGGTGGCTCCACAGAGAACTCTTCCACCTGCAGACAGGAACATTGTGATTCAGCACTGGGTGGTCCTGTGCATCTCTGGGCTCCATCCCACCGGCAAGCCCAGCACAGCTCCTCCTTACCTGAGGCCCATCTCCCAGGAGCTCCTCCAGGTAGCCCAGCCCAGGGTCATCTTCCCCAGTAGAGAAGGCTGCTGCTGCTCCTGCCGCTTCTGCCTTGGCCACTTCCCCATCCTCCACCCCTCCCCACTCAGGCTCTGAGCTGCTGGAGTCCTCTAGGAAGGAGAAGGAATCCTGTACTTCCTGAGACAGGGAGTCCTCCAGGGCAGGAGCTATGTCCACTGGAACAGAGTCAGCCAGAGGACCTGGTACTGGACTTGCCTCCAACTTCTTCTCTGTTAAGAGAGAAATTCTGCCATGAATTCAGAGGTCAAGGCCAGCCCTGACCCTTTCCAAGGTAGGCCTTCCTAGTGCTCCCAGAATGTTTGTTCTGGGTGGCTGGTTCTCCCAGATCAAAATCCCTAACAGCTTATAGCACCAAGCGCTGCACTCTGCTATACTTTTACAATGTGTTATTTCATATGATGTGATTGTTTTTATTTGCAGTGTAATTATTTAGTCAAGAAGAAACTAAGACTCAGAAATACTAAGCAGTTTGTCCAAGATCACACAGCCAAAAAGTGAACTTGAAACAATTGAACTCACATCTGTTTAACCTGATATCCTATATCCTATCCTATGCTGCCTCAAGACTTAGCAGTAACACTGTGGCAGTTGGAGTCACAGCATCATCAGGTCCCAATTATGCCAACTTCTGCCTAATGGGTTGGTAAATCACTCTAAATCACAGGTGCCACTTTGTAACATGAGCATAGCAGTATTCATGTGCCATAAGATTATGAGAAAACTAAGTGGTTGCCTACAAAATTTCTCACTGGAGCCCATGGCATGTTATAAATCCCAGCAAACACTAGCATTTAGTCATCTGTCTTATATTGCCACACTTGGGCTTAACAAGCCCCGATGTACAGGGAAATTCAAGTTGATGGGAAGCATGCATTATCTTTTAATTCCATATTCCATAAACTTTCTGATATCCCCTCCTGTGTGTCTGAAGCAGACTCTCATTCTTGGGTACATCAGTGATCTGAAGACTTCTAGAGATCCCTTGGCCATGAATTTTATGTGACCTGACACTATTAGTAAATTCCCCAACCTTGTATCCATGAAGACAGATGAAGGTAACCCCAAAGCATAAAGACCAAGACTTTTGACTTCCCAAGGGGCCATCTTCCAGCTCCCTAACTTGATTTGAGAGCTCTAGCCCCTTTTCCTAGTTCTGGGAAAATCCCAGGGCTCTTACCTGGGGGGCTGGGGCCAAGGCCAGGGCCAGGGCCAGAGGCAGGATTTGGCCGGGGTTGCAAGGCCGGACACTCAAGGCCACGGGTGAGCCTGGCCAAGGAGACGTTGGAGATGATGTTTGGGGGCACACTGAGAATGGAGGTGATGTGTGGTGGGAGGTTGACATTGTAGGGGTCCGAGATGTGAACACCAGCACAGCGTTCTGCACGGCTGCTGCATACAGCCCGGGTGACTGTCCGCCCAGCTCGTGGCGTGCCTGGTTCAGAGCTGGTGTCTCCCAGTGCCTCTGGTTCCGTCTCCTGTTCACCCTCTAGCATCTCCATGGAATCATTTTCCAGGCACTCAGGTAGCAGTGAGCTCGGTTGAGAACTGCTGGATTCCCTCAGTCCCTCTGGCTCTGTAGAAGAGAAAAAAAAAAAAAAAGGCTAAGGAAGCAATAGCCTTAACTCCAAGGGGCCTAAACACCTCAGCAGAGCCCTGCTTTCTGCTTCTCTTTCCCAGAAAGCCCTGCTTTCTCAGATCAGAAAGGCAGACTCAATTTCCCTTAGCCACTGCTACAAACCTGCCACCCGACCGGCAGGACCCCCCCACCTATACATCCCTAGGGAGTCCACTCACTGGCTGTCACCATCACACACTCGCACACACCCTGTACTGTCTCTACATGTACAAACACTGGCTACATTCACAGACGGGACAATAAACTCACCACTGTACACTTGGCTTCTGCAACTGTGGCTACTGCCTGACTGGCACTCATTAACAATGTTTTGAAATGATTGAACATGGCTGACCACGCTGTTGCTCACACCACACACATGCCTTCATATACAGGAACACACACCTACACTCACCATCGCTTGTCCCAGCCGCAGCACTCAGGGAGTCCATGCTCTTGGCGGGCCGCAAGGTCCCCTTGTTGGACTTCTCCTCTGCGAGATAGGGGTGTGTAGTAGGGGCCAGGGCATTGCACACTCTCAGCATGATACCCCCGTTTCCCTAGACTTACCCCTGTCCTCAGCACTCCGTGGAAGTTTACGCTTGGTCTCATGGCCAGAGCGGCCGAGATTAAAGATAGATCTCCACTTTCTGACTTTCAGAGATCCCTTTCTCCTGTGGAGAATGGAGAAACAATTGGAATCTGGGGCTTAGTAGTCAGTGCAGGGCAGCAGAGTCCTGGAGGGAGGTCTTACTTGTGCTCCGCAATCTCAATGATCGTGTGGTAGGGTCGCATCTGTGGTGGTCCATCACCGGCCTGCAGGATGCTAGGCAGGTGGTAGGGCAGGGACCTGGGCATAAGGTCCTCTGGGCTACCTGATGCTCGGGCACCTGGGAGTGATCTCCAGCTACTATTCACCTCGTCACCTGGGAAAAGAAAGGAATTGGCCAGCTAAGACCAGAGGCAAGTAGAGAACTCACAAATTCCTAGGTCAGGGATGTCCTCTAAGGTTCCTGGAGGTAACTCCTCCATTTCCAGTTCCTTGAGAGGGTGTCTTTATGGACGAAAAGGGCTAGAAAGTCCCAGGGCATTGGTCTGGTAGGCTGGGGAGCCAGGATAGTGATTTATAAGTCAAGTTATGAGGCTGGCACAATGCCTCAACTTGCTAACCCTCCACCTGCAAGAGCCAGCATCTTATATGGATATTGGTTCATGTTCTGGCTGCTCCACTTCCAATCCAGTTCCCTGCCTGTATTCTGGGAAAGCAGTAGGGAATGGCCCAAAGCCTTGAGACCCTGTACCCATGTGGGAGACCCAGAGGAGGCTGCTGGTTCCTGGCCATTGCGACCATTTGGACAGCAAATCAGCATTTCCAATAAAAATAAATATTTAAAAATAAAGGTCTGTCAACTGAACTTGAAATGTGGTTATGCAACAAGGTGGAGGAATCCACCATAGGGGGAGGGTTTGAGGAGGGGTGGGGGGAATCCCAGTGCCTATAAAACTATATCACATAATGCAATGTAATTAATAATAATTAAAAAAAGAAATAAAAAAAATAAAGGTCTAGTCCTGGCACGGATCCCAGTCAGTTCATATGCAGCTCCTTGCTTGTGGCCTGGGAAAGCAGTAGAGAACAGCCCAAAGCCTTGGGAACCCCCCCTTTTTTTTAAATAAATATCTCTCTTTCTCTCTCTCTCTTAAGATTTATTTATTTTTATTGGAAAGGCAGATACACAGAAAGGAGGAGAAACAGAGAGAAAGATATTCCGTCCAATGGTTCACTCCCCAAGCGGCCGCAATGGCTGGAGCTGAGCCAACCTGAAGCCAGGAGCCTCTTCCAGGTCTCTCATGTGAGTGCAGGGTCCCAAAGCTTTGGGTCGTCCTTGACTACTTTCCCAGGCCACAAGCAGGGAGCTGGATGGGAAGTGGAGCCACCAGGATTAGAACCAGCGCCCATATGGGATCCCAGTGCGTGCAAGGCAAGGACTTTAACTATGCTATCATGCTGGGCTCCAAAATAAATAAATCTTAAAAAAAGAAAGCAAGACTAATAAAGAAAAACAGAGGTCAAGTTATTCACTAGACTGGCATCAGAAGAGACCCTCTCAGGTGCTGCTGGTTGCACCATTATCCATGAAGTCCCTCTGTAACTCAGTCTTTGTTCTGCAACACAGGAAATGAACTAGCTGAACTTTGAGGTCCTCTGACATTCTGGCATGCCTCCCCAGAGTCGTGATACGTGCTGAGCAGAAAAGACACTGACCAGAGAGGGCAGCACCCCCAAAGAGCTGATCCACGTGTGTGAGGATGAATTCCACGACGATGGACTGCACACGCACCTCCATGAAGGCTGCCGTCCCATTGAAGCCCGAGGCCTCTATGTCCTTGGACCTGTAGAAGGGTGGAGTTATTCTTCCCCCAGACCCATCATTTCTTCACCAAAGTCTCTTTGAAAACACCTCTACTCCCTGCCACTCCCCCGTGATGGCTCTTAACCCTGTTTCCACCTCTTAAATCATTAATGCCATGAAGTGTCAATTGCCACTTCCTCTTGGAAGTCTTCTTGGTCACTTTCTTAGTGAATAATCCGTATGCCTTTTGCACATCAGGGTGCCTGCTTATAACGAATTACAGGATTTCTCACCGTCTGCCTTATCCCATGGTGAGTATATGCAGGCCAGACCTCCAATCAACTGCGACATTCATGTTGAATAAACTGTTGGTAGGGACTTATATCCCGGTCTCAGAGCTCAGTGATGCAGCAGAGGAAAACCCAAAGGCCCCCTGGCACCAGCCCTTTCTGTATAATTCTGAGCTTTCCTTTCTTGTTGAGTTTTGCAAGACCCCCTTGACCCTCTCCAGTTTTCCCAATGGACTTCCAGGGGACAGGCTCTCCAAGGCTCCCCACATGCTGCTCCCGCATGCACCCACCTCAGCAGGTTGGGGGCCCACACAATGGCCAAGTTGCGGGCATGCATGTTGGTCTGGGCACTGAAGGAGGCCATGTGCACCAAGTGCTGCATGAGGAACTTCAGGGTCCTGCAGAAAGGGGTGAGGAGGTGGTAATCACACAGAGAACACCACAGGCAAGTGACAGGTAGGGAGCTGGGCGGGACAAGTCAAGTCTCTTGGTGGAGTGAGACCAGACCAGGCTGTTGTCAGGGAGCTGGATGCTGGAAGTGGAGCCCCACACACCTGTAGTTTGGGGCAGGGAGTTCTTGAAGCACTTCTAGGATCTTGACCAGGCGCTGGGGTTCCAGCTGCACTGCCACTGCCTCCTGAGGAAGAGTAAGGTGCACAGAGCAGGAGTCAGTAGCCCAGCCTGCCTCTGCTGACTCCTCAGCGCTCCGAACCACTCAGAAACAGTCCATACTGCATCCACAGTGCCTGCACCCAGAACCTTCCAAGACACCCTGATATAATGAGAAAAGCCTAGAATTTGGATTTCACAGAGAATAACAATTGGATTTTGGTCATGCTACTTAGCAGCTTTATTGCATGGCACCAGTCACTGCGACTCCCTGCCTCACAGTTGAAGAGCTGTTACAAAGTGTCCAGGAAGGGATTGATGCAGTGGCACAGTGAATTAAACTACCACTTGTGGTGCTAGCATCCCATATTGGGATGCCTATTTAAGTCCCACCTTCTCTGCTTCTGTTCCAGCTTCCTGCTGAACCAGCTAAGAAGACAGAAGATAACAAGGACTTGGGAGACCAGGCTGGAATCCCTGGCTCCTGGCTTTGGCCTGGTCATCCTTGGGAGTTGCACTTCTTGGGGAATAGAGTAGGGAATGAGATTTCTCTCTCTCTCTCTCTCTCTCTCTCTCTCTCTCTCTCTCTCTGTCTTTCAAATAAAATAATTTTTCCAAAAAAAAAAAAAAAATCTGTTTTAAAGTGTTCAGAAAAGCCTCCACTCACCCAGTCTGTTCTGATTAGATTGAGTAGAGGTGCCACCACCCTTCAGCACTATGTTATCAATGCTGTTGAACTAAATGACTAACACGCAGCTTATTTTTAAAATGTCAGGATGATTTGGGGCTGGTGTGGTGGTATATAGGGCTAATCCTCCACTTGCAGCTCTGGTATCTCATATGGGTGCTGATTAGTGTCCTGGTTGTCTCATTTCCTTTGCTTATGGCCTGGGAAAGCAGCAGAGCAAAGTCTTGGGACCCTGCACCTGTGGGGGAGACCCAGAAGAAGCTCCTCACTACTCTGGCCATTGTGGCTGTGTGAGAAAGATAGGAAGTCTCCCTGTCTCTCCTTCTCTCTATTACTCTGCCTAATAAAAATACATTTTAAAAAAAAGTTACTTAAGTCAGAATCTCCTGTTGCCATGCATTTTTTTTTTTAATCCTGACAATTAGAGTTCATGAAAGGACATTCTTGAAAAAGTTTAAATTTCTAAAATGTGTTCCCTTTCTCTTAAGCATAGAGAAGCTCTAGTCTAGGGACTTTCCCAGCTGACCCCATCCCATCAGGTCTGACAACTGCACTGAGGGCCACAGAATGATGTGAAATGAGGGCAAACATAGCAGGAATGAGGAGACTGGGAGAGGAGGGGTCTTTCTTCCCAGCAATGTTATATCCCGGCATCCCGGCTGTGGCCGTTCAGAATCACCAGCGCTCTGCAAGGCAGATGACAGCCTGGGATGTCAAAACAAGAATGGCCACCCCGAACCTTATCTTTCAGCCTCTCAACTCACAGCGAACTTGTCATAGAGTCGGTAGGTGAGAAGAGGATCTGGAAGTTCTCTGAAATAGGCCTTGCACAGGGAGGAGACGCAGTGAATATCCTGGAGGTAAACATCCCGCCGCAAATCTGGCTTCCGCTCTGTCTCAAACTCCTGCCTGGGGAGATGCAAGGTGGTCAGGAGCGGTCAGGATCGGGAACCAGCCGGGGATGGTGGGAGGTAGAGCTGAGAGCTCCAGGCTCTGAGCAGGGTTGTAGATTCACATGCGGGGAAGCCAACAGGAGAATGCCAGGGTGTATAAATGTGAAGTAGTAAGCATAAGGCACTGGGCATGTTGACATTTCGATGTGGATCTGGGGAAAGACATGTGTATAGTAGGTGGACCTAGACCTAAACAGGGACCTGTCAGGGACGTAGGTGTAGATGTGAACAGCAAGGCAGGGTATACAGGAATCAGCAGAAGCAGGAGAATGGACCCGAATGTATTCTGGGAATGTGTGAAAATGGTTGGATATTATTCTCAGAATGAAAAAACGAGTATAAACTATCATGGCTTTGGATTAATTAATAGATTCTTAGATATGACAGTAAAAGCACAAGCAATTAAAGCAAAAATAAATAACAAAATTTAAAAATACGTATGTATCAAAGGACACTATCAACAAAACGAAAGGCAGAGGGGTGAGGTTAGGCACCATGGCATAGCACGTTAAACCTTCGCCTGAGACACCGGCATCCCATGTGGTCATTTGTTCAAGTCCTGGCTGCTCTACTTTCAATTCACACTGCTAATGCAACTGGGAAGCAACTGAAGATAGCCCCGGTGCTTCAGCATCTATTCCCATATGAGAGATCTGGATGAAGCTCCTCGGTCCTGGCTTCAGCCTAACCCCAGCCCTGGTCATTGGGGCCTACTAGGGAGTGAACCAGCAGATGGAAGAGCTCTGTGTGTGTGTGTGTAAAATTCTGCATTTCCTATAAATAAATAAATAAATCCTTTTTTTTAAAAAAAAAAAAAGATGAATATAAGGAGAAGAAAAGAAAATGGAGGCAGAGGCTGGTGTTGTGGCACAGCCGGTGAAACAGCCCCTTGTACACCAGGAGTGCCGGTTTGAGTTCCAGCTACACTGATTCTGATCCAGCTCCCTTCTAATGAGCCTAGGAACCCCACAGAAGAAGCCTACGAGCTCTGTCACCCATGTGGGAGACCAGGAGGAGATTCTGAGCTCTGGATTCAGCTTGGCTCAACCTCAGCTATTGCAGCTATTTGGGGTATGAATGAGCTGATAGGGTCTCTCTCTCTCTCTGGCACTCTGCTTCTCATTCAAATAAACAAATAAATCATTTTTTAAATGGGTAAAGGATTTGAATAGATGCTTCTTCAAAGAAGATGAGCAAATGACCATTGGTCATTTTTCTCACATATGAAGAAATGCTCAATATTAGTTATTCAGGAAATGCAACTGTGAATCACAATAAAATATCAGTTCACACACATCAGAATATCTATAATAAAAGAAGATGCAGGGAAACAAATGTGGGTGAGGTTGTAAAGAAACTAGAGCTCTGATACATTGCTGATAGGATGTTAAATAATACAGCTCCTTTGGAAAACAGTTTGGCAATTCCTTAAAACGTTTGAGAGTTACCATATGACCCAGCAATTCTACTCCTAGGTATATACTCAGAAGAATTTAAAAATATATGCCCATACGAAAATGAGTACATTGATGCTTATGGCAGAATTATTCACAACAGTCAAAATGTGGAAACAGTCCAAAAAGCAATCAGCTGATGAATGAATAAACAAAACATGACAAAGTTGTAGGAACAAAGTACCGGGACATGTTATAACATGAACAGACCGTGAAGACATTTAAAGTGCAAATGGTCAGAAACACGAAGTCACGTATTTTAAGATTCCGTTTCTATGACATGTCCTGGATAGGCAAATGCACAGTGACAGAAAGTAACTCAGCATTTGCCAGGGGATGGGGGTGGCAAGGGGAAGTGTGGAGTGACTGTTGGTGGGCAGAGGGTTCCTTTTCAGGGTGGTGAAATGTTCTGGAATTAGATAATGATGATAATTGTGCAACCTTACAAATATACTAAAAAGTCACTGAGTTGTTCATTTTAAAGTGGGTAATTTTATTATCTATTATCATGTATTATATAATAGGTAATTTTTTAAAACCCGGGTGAATGAAAGTGCGATTGGAAAGGTGTGTGTGTGTGTGTGTGTGTGTGTGTGTGTGTGTGTGCTGGCGAAGCAGAGTTCACTATCTACACTCTGGAGGACACCCACGAGAGTTCCAAGCATCCCCACTCCCACCTCTCCCACTTCCCTCCATCTCTCCTCCCTGCTGTCCCCATGGTCCTCTGTCCCCCATTCTCCTGGTCACAGCCCTCTCACTCTGCCAACTCACCGGAGCTTCTGGATGTTGGAGGAGACCCCTGAGAGGCGATAGATGCCATCTACCACTCCATGCTCCTCCACAAACTCCGCACAGCTCCTTAGCACCTGGGGCACTGGGGATGCAGACAGGATAGGGTAAGAGAAATCACATCCGGGAGGTCTTGTCTTTGGGGTCAGACACTTGGCTTAGCAGTTCACACACCCCCGTCCCATTATCAAAGTGCTGGGTCTAAGTCCGTGCTCTGCTCCCAGATCTGATTTCTTGCTCATATGCACCCTACAAGGCAGCAACTGATGCCTCAGACAGTTAGATCTCTGCCACCTGCCACCTGGCTGGGAGACCTGGATTGAGTTTCAAGTTCCCGGCTTTAGTCTGGCCCAGATCTAAGCAATGCAGGTATTTAGGGACTGAACCAGAGATAAGAATGCTGTATCTTGCTCTCTCTTCTCTCTCTGAATTCTAAATAAATTTAAAAAGGTAAAAGTTTATTCTTTTGCTTAAAAAAATCTATAGAATGAATGAAACAGTTTTGAAAGTTCATCATTCACTATCTTTTAACTGTTTTCTTACGAGCTGGTTTTAAGACACTTTGCCCTCCTGCACAGGCACATCCTACAGCTGGGTGAAATAAGAAAGGCATTTAGGGTGCAAAATTTAAGGAAGTGCTCACTCTTGGGGCCATGCAAGTGCCAACAGTGCACTCAAGAATGAGATACCTGTGTCACTTGGTGCTCTGAGAGTGGGTGCTTCCTTAAAATTTTCACCCTGCTCCCTCTCATCCCTCACTCTAGCTCCAGCCCTAAGCTTCTCTGTCCATCCCTTTAGGACCTGCTTCTAGGTACCAGGATTTCCCTGACGTCCATTTCCATTACTGGATGCAGAAGTGAGACAGGTCCTCCTGGTTTGAGCTTCTACTGTGTTCTTGAGTGTCTAATGCTAGACAAACTCATTTGGCCACCACATTATTTTGGTGACTCACATGTATCTACTGTCACCTGAGTCTTCAGGTCCTCATCACATAAACAGTGACCAAAATAGGTGTTCCCCTTCCTGTCTGCTGATTTGGAACTTTCAGAGAAGGCCCTCAAAGAGGGTGTTCAAGAGCCATAAGGAGCAAGTGCCCACACAGGAAATGGGCCAAGGGCATGGGAGGAGAGAGCGGTGTCAGAGATGAGGGTGCTAAGGAGATAGAGATCAGGGAGATGAGGTTGAAGATTATGCACACAGGTCGGGGTGAGGAAGGCAAAGGGATGAAAAACCAAGGAAGGGGTGTGCAGTCCCCATGTGGATCCCAAAGCTTGAGGACATGGAGGATCAGAACCCTGAGCAAGGTATAAAAGAAACAAAAGTTAGAATTCAATGCCTGGAGGACCTGGAAGCAAGAGACTCGTTACGGGGCAAAGGACTGGGCTAGAGGCCTGAGATGGGGCAGGGTTGTGAGGCTGGGACATCTAGGATGACAAGGTAGATACACTGGCAAGGAGCAGGCCTTTCTGAGTTGGGTTTTCACCTGACTGTGACACCATCCTCAGCCCTTCTGTATTTCTCCCTCTGCACTTCTCTGTAACAGGCAGGGGTGGGGTTGCTGGAGTAGGGTGAGAGAGGACCCCCCCCCAAAAGCCCTCAGCCTGGGGCTCAGGTGAGGTGCTGATGAAGGGCAAGGAGGTATGTTGCTCTGTGAGATTCACGAGGTCTACCATACTGGAGAACACATGCCTTACCCATCACAGAGGCAGGCAGAGGCCAGGAGGGCTGCCAGAACAAGGTGTGTGTTTAACCTGTGCTCAAGTCAGGGCAGGTGGTGGGTCACGGGATAGGGCAGTGCTGCTGGGGAGGAGGCGGACCCAAGGGTTTGTGGCCAGAGCATCATCCCTAGTTAAAGCTGGCCATGAACCGTCTCTCTCAGGAGGAACCTGTCCTAAAACAGCAAACCCTGCCCCAACAGCTGTGCCATGGCCACTCTGCCCTAAGAATGGCCAAGTGTACAGCCAGCAATGGCTGAGGAGCTCTCTGCCTTGGGGCCCAGGCTGTCCCTCCAACTGAAGCCAGTAACGATGGGGAGGAGAAAAGCGGAAGGTGGTGTCCGGGGACGCAGGGGCAGGGCTAAGAGGAGGAAATGAGCTGGGAACCACCATTTACTGCAGGCACCACAGCCCAGAGCAGAGGAGGGGACAAAGAGGAAATGACAGATTGGGGTAGGGTGCGGCAGTGAGGGACAGATCAAGCCCTATGCTGGGAGGAGCTCGACATGCCAAAAACAAGCCTGGCTGGGCTACCAGGACACCTGGATTCAGTTTCAGATCAAGTCAAGAGACAGTTTTGAGTGACTTCCCAGTGAGCCCAAGGTTGTCCCTACTCCTGCTGGCTTCTCAGACTGTGCCAAGGCAACTCAGGGAAGAAGCCAAGCACACGCCATAGACAGTCCCCACTTGCCCCTCCCTCACACTCTCCGGCCCCAGCCTCCAGACAGGCCACAAGAGATCTCCTTCATGTGACCAGTGCTCCATGTTTCAGCAGCTCCTCTCCGCTGCACTGGGAAAACAAGACTCGCTAGGCAGGAGGAGGTTGTCCCACCCTTGCCCACAATGGCTCAATGAGGCTACGGAGGGGTCTTGGACCTGGGTGTTCTCCTCCCACTGGGAAGCCCCTTTCCTCCCAGTCTCCCCTGCAGCCCTGCTCCTGCTTCCTCCGACTCAAACCCAAGGACCACCCAGGAGCACTTTGGCCATTTTTCTCTTCTGTCACCTTGGCCTACCTCTCCTGCCCCCCAGGGGCCAGCCCCTCACCTCCCTCATGTTCACTTGTCCTTGCATTTCCAATTTCTCCAGCCTCTCTGCTCACCACTCCCTTGGTCACCCACCCCAACTTCAGAGAGTTCCCCAAAGGAGACACCCTGCCTTCACTGAGCTCCATTTCCTGTCTTGCCTGCTGGTAGGTCTCTGGGGTGGTGACCCCAGGCCATTGCCCCTTCCCCCAGAAGCACCCGGAAGCTGCTACTGCCCCTCAGACCAGGTCAGGCTGCACAAATTCCGTGTCTCCCCAGCCACCCACCCACAGCAGCTCCCAGGTGGCCTCCTTACCCTCCTGGCCTGAGTGCTGCAGGTGCTCCTGCAAATCACACCCGAACACACGCTCCTTCGAACTGCCTTTCTTCTTTCCTTTCTGCCGAGACTTCATGGCCGGAGCCCCAGGGCTCTGGCCCAGCCACGTCTGTCCCCCCAAGACCTTTGCTTTATCAGTCCCCCATGAGAGTTCAGCCGATCCGGGCTTGGCCCAGCCCCAAGGCTCCCAATGAGGGGTGGATAGAGGGTGGCCTGGGCAACAGGTTCCTGCCTCGGCGCCCCCCCTCCCCAGCCACACACGCCAGTGGCTGGGGAAGAGGAAGCTGATGGGACCCCGGCAAGAAGCTGTCTCGTGGCCCGGCTGGGCACTCGCCCTTCTCGCCCCGCTTTGCTATGGGGGAGCAGGAAGCTGTGCAGCTCCTCAAACCCGCTTCCTGTTAGAGCATCTTTGCAACCACAGGGCCAGGGTGGGGGAGGTAGCTGACATTCACATCCCCACTCACGACTGGGTCTTTCCTCATTGGTCAAGGAGAGGTGATGTCAGAGCCCCGGGGTGGGGTGATGGTGTCTAGGGCGTGAGCAGGTGGCTGGCACCCTTAAAGACCACAGTTCTTGGGTCGAAGGTTTAGAGCAGGCGGAACATGATTGTACTGTGTACCCCCAGAGGCTGCCTGGGCTCTGCCTCTTACGGGCCTGCCATGTGACTCCCCTGTACCCCAGTCTCCCCACAAAGGGACATGAAGTGGGTAGACCAGATGAACTTTCAAATCCTTCCAGCTTCAACAGCTTGTGGAATTCATACAACTTGGGTTTCAGTTTCTTTATAGGTAGAAAGAGCCTACACAGCTACTTTTGAGTCTTCAAGCACTGAACACCTGGAAAAGATTCTTAACCGCACATCCTAACTGGGGAGTTGGAGACGCGGAAGGTCTGGTGGAAGCCGGTCCTGTCCCTTTTCCTCCTGGTGACAGGCATCCTAACTCCTCCCCTACTTGGGGCCACGGGGAAGATGGGACTCACCGTGACAGAATGGGATTCAGAGACCAAACAGGAACCAGACAAAACAGGTTTTATCTGTTTATTTAAAAACAGAATATTATTTTATGTACAAATATGCACATATTTACACAAAATGTACAAACATGGACCCCAGGTCTTTGGGCCCCACACTCAGAGTCCTGTCTGGGCTGGCTGGGGAACAGAAGGGACACTCTCCTTTGGTCTGGAAATCAGTGAATTTCAGGCCAAGCAGGATTTGGGCACAATATCTGGGGAGACTGGCTGAGTGTGTTTGGGCAGAAGTCCTTGAACCCTAGCCTCCAGCCCAGAGAACCTGCAAGAACAGCCCCAAATTAGCGAAATCCTCTCACCTCCAGCACCTCGATCACCCCAGCTCTACTTCCCCTCATCTCCCTCCCGCTCATACTCACACCCTAACCAGGAGCGCTTATTACCAAGTCCCAACAACCACCCTAAGGAAACACACACAATCGTGGATGAAGACCAGAGAGGAAGCTGGGGCAGGACAAGGAGGCCATGGCATGGGGTTGGGGGACAGTGGTTCAGGCGCAGCTGATTCCCCGTCCCCAGCTTCACACCCCCAACTCCAGACCCCAGCAGCTCCCAGGGTCCCTGCCAAGGTGCCGCTCTGATAAAGATTGTCCTAGAAGGAACAACATCCGAACCACAGGAACTAGCCTCCTAAGATGGCGCCACTCCGAATTCCTATGGAGGCTGGCCTCACGCTAAGCAACCCCAGTAACAAACATGAAGATATATCAAGCTTCTTCTTCCTAAAGTCATTTCTCGTATTAGGGGATGTGGAGCAGTGTTCTTGCTAGAAACTCCCCTGGGAAGATCTATTTACAGGAAATATGTCCACGCAGCAGGCCCACAGGCCACCAGAGGGCAGAGGACTTCTTCTGGAACACTCCAGGCCTCTGGCAGTCCCCTGAGTGGCCACATCGTGCTTGCTCCAGGTCTCCCAGAGGATAGGAACCCAGTTCCTGCACCCTGAGGGCCAGACTCCAGTTCCAGCCATGCCCGCACACCTGGATCTGGCCCCCCCTTCTTCACCTCTCACCTCCAACCTCTGCATCATTAATACTGCTCTGGGGTCTGAGGGAAACACCTGCATTCAGAGGCAGAGGACACACACAGCCACACGCAGACAGCGCGCCCCAGGCAGCCTCCCAAAGCCCGTGGCCCACACTGCAGCACACCCAATGCACACCAGGGATACCAGTGGCTCTCCTTGAACAGTCAGCGAATACACACACATACCACAAACACACACAGTGACCTGCACACATATGGTGGGAGGGACTCCCTGGGGAGACCCCCTCCCACCGCCACACACACACACACACACTGTGAACAGAAGGATTGGAGGAACAGGTTGAGCAGTCGCTGGGGTGGGGAGCATCTTCCTCAAGAAATGGGGACTTTTAAGAGGTCCCCTCCAAGATGAGCCACAATCCCCCATGTCAGCTGAAGGAGCCGGGTCTAGGGGAGGGACGGGGGGGCCTGGGTCAGACCAGGTGTCCCCGCCCATTGATGTAGATGCCATTGCCCGTGGGCTTGGCTCGCAGGGTCCCATTCTCCTGAACAAAATGGTTCATGGCCTGTTTGATGCCTTCATCTCTGTCCTCCTCTTCCTCGGTCCGCCCAGAGCTGGGAGACAGCAGTTCTGTCTGCGTTTCAATCTCCCTCACCGTGGTCAGCGTGGAGTAACTGCGGCCCTCTGGCTCTTCACTCTGGCAGGCAAGGACAGGCAGTGGGAAGCAACAGAGGAGTCAGGAATGCCAGGCAGGGTGGCCAGGAGGCGCCATGGGGGTCATGGTGGGGTCAGAGGTCAGGCAAAGCAGGGGTTGTGATTTTCTCAGAGGCATGGGGGCTAGGCACAAGTGTCAGGCACAGGGGAGGCGAGGCAGGAGAGTGCTGGGGCTTGGGGGACTTGGGAACTAGGGCTGAGGCAATGGGGAGAGATAAGGGGGCTGGTGATACAACACATCTGGGGCCAGGAGAGGGGCCTGAGGAGAGTGGTGGGGACAGCGGTGGGGCCGGGGGCCTCACCATCACAGAGCAGCTACTGTTGTCCTTGAGACTATCAGGGTGACCCTCGGCTCTCAGCCCTACACTCTCCTCCGGCTGCAGGGCCCAGGACAGGGGGGAGGAGTTAGAATGGAGCTCCACCTCCTCCCCTCCACCTCTCCACCTGCCTCTTCCAGCAGCCTCCTCCCTGACCACCTGTCCCCCAACCACACAGGTCCATTCTGTCCTTGATATAAACGTGCTCATTCCCCCCACCACTCCCTGAGCCCCCCAGGATCCAGTGCAGCTTCGGCCAGGGGGTCTTCCAGGGAAGCCCTAGCACCCTCCCATGTGCACTTGAGCCCAGCACCAACTGTGAGTCAATGGCCAGACGTGGGAGAGGGCTCAGTTCCCAGGTCTGCAGAGGGCCCGGCACAGCACTCCCCAGTGTGGCCATGCACTCAGCCTCAGCACCTACCTGGCTCCTGGGGTCCGTGTGATGGGAATGTAGCCTCCGGATGGAGTTTTCCCGGGTCAAGGTCAGCTCCTCCTCACTAGAAAAAATACCTACTCGTCAGGGACCAGAAAGTTGTGGCTGCCCAGGGTAGGTCCAGCCTGACCAGGGTGACACAGTGTGGGGGTGTGTGTGTACTTGCTGACACCTGCGCTTACAGAATGGTCCTCACTCTGGCCATTTGCCCCCACTCCCCACCATACTCCCTAGCTGTGGTGCAGGCCCCAAATGTCCTCTTTCCTGCCCTGAGACCCTGTTCACATCTGTCCTTCAAGCTCCCCAGCTATCAGGCCACTTTGCATCCTTGCTCCTGTCTGTAGGGGCCTACCTCCTGCATCCTCCAACCCACCCAGGAGTGGCCAGTACTCACTATTTCTGGGTCATCTGCTGGGCCTTGCGCCGATGGTACCGAGACATGAGCACCACCACCAACACCAGCAGGCAGAACAAGAGTGCCGCAATCACACCCACCACCACCACCGAGGCCGACACGAGGTCCACCTTCTGCCCCGGGGTCTCCTGAGCATCTACTGGAGAAAGGCCACCATCTCAACACAAGGACTTCCAGAACCCACAGTCCCCGGCCCCCACCCCCACAGTGCCCTTACAAAACACACCCACCCAGCTGAATCCTCTGCAAAACATACAATGCAGTCCCCTCCAAACGGCTCCTTTCCCAGGCCTCCTGTCCGCCTTGCTTCCTGTCATCTCCCCACCAGACCCTCTGCCCAGCTGGCCTTGCTTCCACCACAGGACTTACCAAGAACATCCACAGTGACCTGGGACTCCCTGGAGGACAGCTCGTTGCTCACGTGGCAGACATAGACACCGCTGTGCTCAGCAGTCAGCGCAGGGAAGCCCAAGGTGTCCCCTTCCACTCGTACCCCGCTGGGCAGAGGCCCGTCCAGCCTGGAAGAGAGGGAAGCTGAAGGATGCCAGCTAAGGCAGGCTAAGGCTGCCACCACCCGACGTGCCCAGACAGCTCTCCCCCTCCATGACGTCACCCAGAGCCGCCGGCTGTTCCCACGGTGCCCCTCCCTCCCCAGGCAGGTCTAGGCACAGGCCCCTTCTCCCTACCGCCCAGCTTGACCCGGGCACCCCCCACACACGCTCGGGGAAAAAGCACACGCGTGCCATCCCACGTGCTCCCACAGGCATCACGTCATCCAGCACTGGGGACCAGAGCTGCGTGTTTATAAAGTCCACCCAACAGGACACTCCACTCCTAGCTGACTCAGAGGGATTGGGAAAAGTGCAGCTCATGCTCCAACACCCGTGGTATTACATGGCAGGGCCCGTGAACACAGCCCCAGGCACAAGGCCACATGCGTCGCTCACACGCTCACATGTGAGAACACGCCTGTCACAGCCTACAAGTGTGCCTGACCTCTCTCTGATTTTCTGGACATCTCAGGTCCTGGAAAGGGGCCAAGGAGTCCTGGAACGAACCAGCAGAGGTGGATGGGGGGGAGGTGTTTCGGGGCTGTTGGCAACACTGTGATACTGTGTGTATCACAGTGCTGCCAACAAGGAGTGTTGGCTCACAGCAGCTACAGTCAGCTGTATCCTTTTTGTCTTTTGCACTCAGTGCCCTTGCATAGATAAAAGGTTCAAGTTTAAAACACTGTGTTTCATCTCACTACATAAATGTTACAGCAGTCAAATTTCTTTGTGAGTTCATTCCCCACCAGTGACCCACCACGCGTCCTAGGGACCCTGAGGCAAGCCCATAATATCTGGTAACCACACACATTCTTGCCTAAGTCCGAGGAGGTGTGTGACAATCCACCTGGCGTTCAGAATACATCATCCCAGCTCAGAACGAGAACACCCTGGCTCTCAGAGAGAAGCACCTGCACTTCAGATTCAAAGTTTTGGCCCAAGGGAGGACTAGGCTCTTACCGCGTCCAGTTGTATGAGGGAGGGGGTTGCCCTTCACTCAGACACTTGAGCGAGGCTCCTTCTCGGCCAACGTGCCACAGCTTCTGGTCCTCCAGGCCCCTCACAGAGGCCTCTGCAAGGACTGGAACGAGAGACAGGAGAAAGAATGGGAAGGATGCCTGCACTTGTGTGGGTCCTCTCAGAGCCCCCGCCCTGCCTGGCACAGCCTCGGGCTGTCCTGTACCCTCCTACACACCTGCTTTCAAACCCAGCTCAGCCCCACCTCCGCACCATGTCAGGCCACACAGTTGCCCAAACTCAGAGTGACCCTGCTGATTTCCTGTGCTGGGAGCCCATGATGTGTTAACACATAAAAGGGTGATTTCTTTTTTCTGCTTTTTCTGCACTGTCTATGGCTGCTCACAGAACAAGCATTTATTATTAAATGTCAGATATACAGAGAGGAGGAGAGACAGAAAGGATAGATCTTCCATCCGATGATTCACTCCCCAAGTGAGCGCAACGGCCGGTACTGTGCCGATCCGAAGCCGGGAACCAGGAACCTCTTCCAGGTCTCCCATACAGGTGCAGGGTCCCAAAGCTTTGGGCCGTCCTCCCCTGCTTTCCCAGGCCACAAGCAGGGAGCTGGATGGGAAGTGGAGCTGCCGGGATTAGAACCGGTGCCCATATAGGATCCCGGCGAGTTCAAGGTGAGGACTTTAGCCGCTAGGCCACATCGCCGCCGGGCCCTCTGTTTCTTTCTTTAACAAACACTGGCTGAGGAGCACCTTGTGCCAAGTGCTGGGTTAGTCTGAGCTGACATTAGTCTAGTCTCATGCTGGGGAACCTGTATCTGTCATTTACCAAGCACCCCCGGCACGTGCCAAGCACTGTGCAAGGAGCTTTGCATTCGTGGTTTCTAATTCTCATCAAAACCCCATCAAGTTTGTATAATTAGGCTCATTCTGCTGATGAAGCCTAACCAGATTAAATACCAGCTGGCAAATGGCAGAACTAGGGCTTCGCCTGACTCTCCCATCTCTAAAGTGTGTATTTTTCAGAGTGCTTCCAATTGCATGTTCAGAGTTGATCCTCCCAACAGCTCTGCGAAGCGGAGCAAGGTCCTGGGGTAGGGGTAGGGAGAGGGGCAGGAGATAAGGCCTCTGATTCAGACAGGCTGAGGTCACCCTGGGCCAGGCTCCAGGTCTTCTGCCTATGGACAAATGCTCTCTGGCACAGCATGATCCTCAGCCTGCCAGCCAGCCTGGGTGTGGCTCAGGGCCTCTCGGTGTGTCCTCAGTTCTCCCCAGACCCCCGGCCCCTTCTTGTCCAAGCATCCAAGTACTCACAGGCCACTTGGAGAGTGTGAGTGATTCTCTGGTCCTGGAGCAGGCCGGGATGGGACACCACACAGGTCAGCGGCTGCCCATTCATGCTGCGACTGGGCACCAGGTGGAACTCGGAGGTGACAGCGGCAGAGCGCGAGTGTGCGAAGGAGCGGCTAGAGGCTGTGCCTTTGACCTCAGTGTCCCAGGTCACGCTGGGGGCCGGGCTGCCCTCAGCCGTGCAGGAGGCTGCCAGGGTCAGGCCCTGACCCTCTTCAAGTGGCGGGCCAGGGTTCAGGGAGGGAAGAGGAGGCACTGCAGGGAAGTGGGAGGCAGGAGTCACACTCGTCCCCACAACCCGTCAGGATGCCCTGCCCCCTCCCATCTCAGCACAAACTTCCCAGGCCTCCCTCTTCCATTCATTCTTGTTTTCACCAGCAAAGGTCTCAGATGAGTGGCAGAATTTCAGATGACTCTGTGTGAATTTCTCCATTACTTGTTTTTGTTTTGTTTTGTTTTGTTTTGAATTGAGTTGGAAAGGCAAATTTACAGAGAGAAGGAAAGACAGACAGAAAGATCTTCCATCTGCTGGTTTACTCCCCAAGTGGCCACAACAGCCGTTGCTGAGCCAATCGTAAGCCAGGAGCTTCTTCCAGGTCTCTCACGCAGGTGCAGGGTCCCAAGCCTTTGGGCCGTCCTCTACCACTTTCCCAAATCACAAGTAGGGAACTAGCCAGGGCACGAATCAGTACCCATATAGGGTCCCGGTGCTTGAAAGGTGAGAATTTAGTCACTAAGCCATTGTGCTGGGCCCTCGTGGGTTATTTTTCAAATCAAAATAATGAAGCAATTAAAAAACTGAGCAGCTCTCATCCATAATAATAATGATGATAATAGCCACCGTTTAGTAAGCAGTTACTATGCGCAACGGAATGCCAAACACTTGACAAAGGTTATTTCGGTTAAGTGTGTCAACAAATCCATGAGCTAGGTTCTCTCATCCCTCCTTTCCAGGGAGGAGACTAGAGCTCAGGGACATTAAACGGGCTATTCCAGGTCACCAGCTATCAGGTGGCGAAGCCCTGATGTTCACACTCCTGTTTTTCTATTCCAAGGCTGGAGCCAGAGACTTCCCATGTGGATGAAGGGAAACTGGAAAAGCTTTTATCATGCAAAACCAGCAGTTCAAGCCCAGAATGAGAGAAACTTAAGCTGACCAGTGGCTGACCAGGGCTGACCACAAGTGCAAAGCGGTGGTTTGGAGGGCCTGTGATCCAACATCACAATCATTTAAGGTGCCCCATATGGCACCACACTTGAAAACGGTGCAGCCCAGCATGACCAGGGAGGCTCTGGGGCAGAGCCTGGACAGTAGGCACCAGAGGGGGAAAGGGCAGATCTGGGAGGGGCCTGACAAGGGTTCTTGGCTCTGAGTAACAGGAGGAGGGGCCGGTGTACAGAGGAGAGGGCAAATCCCCACCACATTGCTCCAGAGGGCAAAAGCCACCGGAAAGAAGGACTTCCTAACACACGAATTCTTCCTCGGCTTCTGGGGTTAATGGGAGAGAAGTGGGCCGGTGGGGCTGCCTTCTTTCATTGTTGTTCTGCCACTACCCCATCCATCTCTGCTTCCATTGCCACGGGCGTGAGGTCTTGGTAGCTCCACGCACTTAACCCAGCAGCCCCTGACCCCACTCACCTAGCACTCGGAGCCGCAGCCGCCCCTGGAAGCTGCCGGCGGGGAAGGTGCTGACCCGGCACTCGTATTCGCCCTCGTCGGCTTGCACAGCGTTGCGCAACAGCACGGAGCCATCGAGGGGGTCCCGCGGGGGCGGCGGCTGCTCCACGCGACCCTCATAGGCCGGGCTCACGTGAAGCCCGTATGTGGCGTGCAGGAGCGCCAGCTCCTGGGGACCCTCGTTTGCGTCCACCCGAGCCCATGCCACCTGCCCCACCTGCTCGCCAGGATCCCCTCGGTAGAAGCAGGGCAGCTTTGCGTCCTGGCCCAGCACCACCGTCACCAAGTCCGAGGTCTCCAGCTCACTGGCGGGGCATCGGCCTGCAGGGGGCAGACAAGAGCAGCCGGGGTTAGCACAGGGGCGAACTCGCCTAAGCATCGCCACAGCTGCAAAGGCCCCCGGAACTCACGGAGGTTTTATGCTGGCGAAGCGCGTTCAGTTCATTACCTCATTAGATCCACAAAACATTCCCGAGAGGTAGGCGTTATTATCGCCATTTAACAGATGAGGAAACTGAGACCCAGGGAGAGGAAGTGGCTTGCCTAAGGCCACACAGATGATTTATGGAAGACCTACACCCTCCTGCACCTAGGATTGTATCCTGAACAACTGCAACGTGGAAGGTTGTAACAGGCCCAGACTCCCGGCCCCAGCCCTCAGGGAGCTCATGGGAAGAAATAAAACTGATGCACATGGAATTGGGGAAAAGCTTCTACAAACTTTCACAGGAGGCTCAAATTACCAAAGGGGTAAGAGAAACTGCTTTCAGGAGGTGGGGTCTGGAGCCCCAACAAGCATGCAGGACCCCCGACCCCAGTGGTCTGGGATGGAGCACAGCTGATGGGAGCAGCCATCCCAAGCAGGCTCTTCAGAACATTCTTTTCATGGCTACAGGGTGAGCGGCCTGAATTCCCAGCCAGAAGGAGGCATTCCACGTGGGAGGAATGGCATGAACAGGGATGGCATGGTCAGGGACAGGAATGAGCAAGTCATCAAGCAGAAAGGGCTCAGGTCGGAAGCCCCAAAGACAAGGTCAGGGCAGGCACACCTTGACCAGGTCAGCGTCGTGAGCTGCAAGCAGAGGACCAGGGGTAAAGACGGGCCCGTGTTTGGATGCCTTGACCAGGAGCGTATAGAGAAGTTGGGTAGACGGAGTAGAAGCCTGCCTGCAAACAGGCGACACCAGACAGCTGCTCAGGAGGACGTACCCTCCCCACACACACACGGAGACTCAAGCCTATCAGTCCATGCTCAGCAGTGCTGGGAGGAGGCAGTCCAAGCTGAGGGCCTCAGGCATGAGCTGGGCAGGATTAGCAAGCAGAGAGCACCGAGAAGGCATTTCAAGGAAGGGATCAAAATGAGCCACCACAAAGGAGGTCGGGAGGCCGGCTGGTCAGGAGCTACCTGAGGCAGGTTGGGTGTGTTGGATGGGGCGGGATGGTGCCAAATCACCTAGACCTGGCAGGGGCCAGGTAAATGAACTCAGATTTGGTCAAGAGGAAATGGGGAGTCTTTAAGGTTCCTCAGCTAGGGAGGGGCAGAGGCAAGGGGGCTTAGACAGAAGAGAGGGAGCAAGCAGCCCTGGCGAGGCGGGTCCTGGCAGTAGGGGACAGAGGGGGCAGTGGGGAGATTTGTCAGGAATTGGGTTAAAGCAGAAAGAAAGATGAGGAAAAGACTTGGACATAAGGAGATACATTTTGCATTTCTCCACTAAGACACATACAGAGGGGGAGGCAAATTTCTGGAGAGAGATTTCTGGAGTTGTGACGCTGAACATGAGACCCGGGACTGGCGGCTGGGAACCTCAGACCTGAAATGAGCATGCCAGCACTGCCGACCGTCTGCTGCCAGCATGTCACACGTCACAAGCACTGCTGCTCCTCACCTCTGCTCACACTGCACCCCCTTCCTGGAACACCCTCCTCCCCGTGTCTGGGAGCTCCTACTCATCACTGTCTGGATAACTCCTACTCACTCTGTAAGTCTCTGCTTGACTTCCACCCTCTCCCCACCCCCACCTCGGGCAGCCTTGGGCATCCTGCTCCATTACCCTCTCGTACCCCGCTGCGACTCTAATCACAGTGCTTTATCCCACAGGTGGCCTTTGCTATTTTGGGGTCTACTTCCAACCCCCACTACACTAAGTGCTGCAAGAACAGAAAATAGGAACTGGGTCTCCCAGCACACATGGAAACATTGTTTATAATTTAATGTTCTGTGGTGTGCAGTCTCCATTCTTGGTGCATAATAGTGCTTAGTTAATGTTTGTTGACTGACTGACTGACTGAATGAATGAATGAATGAGTGAGACAGACAAGCAGCAGAAGGAAAAGGTAGAAGGAAGAAGAATGAATAATCCTTGCTTAGGCTGGGCAGGAAGGGCGTTGACATGGCAACCTTGGGGTGGAGGATGGATAAGCAGGCTGCTTCACCAGGTTCACTGCCAAAGCAAGCACCTCCAGATTGGACAGAGGGCGAAAGAAGGAATGGAGGGAAGCGGGCATGGAGAAAGGAAGTGAAGCCTCATGGGAACATACCAGAGGGTTCCCGTGAGGCAAAGGAAAGGGTCCCGTGGCACTGTTGGCAGGAATAGAGGGAGGATGCTGCTGGAAGCTGGGAGGGCCTGAACCTGACGGGACAGACCTGCAGGGCCAGATACCAGGGCCCTGACCTGCCTAAGCTAAAGTTGGTCCCACCCAGCCCAAGCCTGGGAGTCCAGCTAACCACCTTACCCCTCCCAGGCACTTCCTCCCAGCACAGCAGGGAGAAAGACTGCAGGCAAGGCTCAGATGTGCTCAGGATAGTTCCCAAATCCCAGCGCAACCTTTGCCTCAAACCCCCAGTGTCTATGCAGGTGACAGGGACCCTGAGCCCTGCTCTAATGACACTCAAGTCCTTCTTCTTTTTTTTTTTTTTTTAAAGATTTATTTATTTTCATTACAAAGTCAGATATACAGAGAGGAGGAGAGACAGAGAGGAAGATCTTCTGTCCGATGATTCACTCCCCAAGTGAGCACAACGGCCGGTACTGTGCCGATCCAAAGCTGGGAACCAGGAACCTCTTTCAGGTCTCCCACACGGGTGCAGGGTCCCAAAGCTTTGGGCCGTCCTCCCCTGCTTTCCCAGGCCACAAGCAGGGAGCTGGATGGGAAGTGGAGCTGCCGGGATTAGAACGGGCATCCATATGGGATCCAGGCGAGTTCAAGGCGAGGACTTTAGCTGCCAGGCCACGCGGTTGAGCCCTCAAGTCCTTCTAAATAATGTCTCCAGGCCATGCGTGGTGGCCTAATAGCCAAAGTCCTCACCTTGCACGTGCCAGGATCCTATATCAGCACCAGTTCTAATTCCAGCAACTTCCCATTCAGCTCTCTGCTCATGGCCTGGGAAAGCAGTCAAGGATGGCCTGAAGCCTTGGGGCCTTGCACCCACATGGGAGACCTGGAAGAAGTTCCTGGCTCCTGGCTTCACATCAGCTCAGCTCCAGCCATTGGAGCCACATGGGCAGTGAATCAATGGACAGAAGATCTTCACCTCTATCTCTCCTCCCTCTGTATATCTGACTTTCCAATACAAATAAAATAAATCATTAAAAAAAAAAAAAGACATGTCTCCCATCCCCATCCCTATACTTGTCAACCACCTGCCTCTCCATCACCGAAGTTATCCACATGTGCACACACACACACTCCTGTGGCAGGTGCTGTGGCGCAGCACATTAAACTTCCACTTGGGACATCTACATCAGAGCACCTGAGATTGAGTCTCAGCTCCTCTGCTTCCAGTCTAGCTTCCTGTAAATATGCCTGGGAGGCAGCAGGTGGTGGATTGAATGTTTGGATTCCTGTTATCCGAATGGGAATTCCTGGTTCCTGGCTTCTTCCTGTTCTCATCACTGGTTGTTGCAGAGATTTGAGCAACAAACCAGTGAATGGAAGATTTCTCACTCTGTCTTTCAAATAAATACATCTTTCATCATCATTATCATCATCATCAAACAACCATCTTCTTAGGATGCAGTAGGAATCAGCTACCCAGCTCAGACCTGAATTCCTGTCTGGGAGTCTAAGACCCCCTTCTCCCAAGGTTAATGCCAAACTTTGCAGAACAAGGAACCCAGTAAAACAGGGTCTTTGTGAAGCCCACCTCACTGTCCCAGATCCACTGTGTAATAGAAGCATCTCAATCTTAGCAACACCTTTCCTCCTGTCTTATACACACACACACACACACACACACACACACACACACACACAGTCCCCCAAGCTGCAAGAGAAGAGAAAGGAGAGCTTGGGCCTAGAACCCCTGCCCTGGGCTGGATAGACCCAGCAGCCCAGGCTCCCAAGTCAGCACAGGCCAGGACTGCCTCCTCCTTCTCTCCCCCACCCAGTGCCTGCCTGGCGTCAGCATGATGATGTCACCAGACTGAAGGAGACACACCATCTGCCTGGTGAGGTCACCCTACGGGCATGTGGTGGCCAAGCTAGGCCAAACCCACAGACCCTTGTGCTGCAAACTGTTTGCTGAGGCTGCTGGTCTCTGGCTACCTGGGCACTCCTCCCTCTGATCCACCCCCCCCCCCCCTTCCTCCCAGGAGCACCAGGACGGTCGGACGCTGGTCAGGAGCCTTGGTGACTCAGAAGCTGCCACACAGCAGCAGGCCTAGCCACAGCCACCACCACCTTGCGCAAGGAAAAGAACAGGCCCAACTGGCCAGACGGGATCCCTGGCTTTGGCCTCCCCCACCCCTGGCCAGGCCCCCACGGGCCTCTTTGGGGCCCTGCCCTTTGTGTACCCCGCCCGATCCCAGACAGGCCCTCCATTCCTGGTTTGGGCTGGTTGGCTACTCCCCACCCTGTTCCTGGGTCGCTGCTTCCCTTTCTGCATAGGGCCTGGCCTCTAATCTCAGCAGCCGACACTAAGGCTGACACTGCAAAGATACCCAGCCACATCTATGGGGAAGCCATCTCTCCTTTATGAGAGGGGTCTTTCTGTGGCAGCATCACCCACTGGCACATATAAGGAAGGGTATGCACCAGAGTCCCAGAAGCGGAACAGGAGATGAGGCTGCCGGGATGGCGTGCACACTGGGTACCTTTGGGTGAGGGCGTGGCCAGACTTTCTAGTTCCCATGCATGTGAGGTTTATTTCTCACAAATGTGTGTTTGTGTCTTACATTCAGGGAAGTATGTGCACTTGCCTATGCCCAAAGGGAAGGGCCATGTTAGGGCATGCACACACGCATGTGTGTGTCTTGTGTGTGTGTGTGTGTGGTCACTGTTGCACGCATCATTACCTGGGCGTCTCACACCCCCAGTATGCGCAGTGTGCATTCCCGGGTTGCGGAACTCCACACACAGGGTAAATATTTTGAAGTCGGTTTATCTTGGCTTCCACGTGTCTGCCTGTTGCAGCAGCCCTTGGCCAGTGGTATGTGGCTGGGTCCTAGCCCTTGCACCCTGTCTGGAGAGTGGCCCCGACATCCCTCTGAGTTCACCCCAAGACTTGAGGGCAGATTCATCCCAGGCACAAGGTGGAGGTACCCAGCGATGAGGTCACTGTACCTCCAGGTGATGGGAAATTACCTTCCAGCCTCCTCAGCGAAGCTCCCACTGCCCTGGCTTCTCGGGTTCCTATGAAAGAGGTTTCCCCCTGCTCAGCCCCTCCCCCTAAGTCCCCCCAGCACCTGTGCCCCCCCTCCCTCAAGGAGGCCTCTCTCTCCCTGGGAATCCGTCAGGGCTCTGTTGCCGCCACCACCTGAAAAACCAGCTCTAGCTTCAGGCCTGGGGTAAGGCTTGTCTGGTGTGGGTTTGGTGGGAAAGTATGGAGGGGGGAGACCCTGCCTGGGGCCAGGGAGAGGGGTCCAGGATGTCAGGGTCTCATGCTTTGTTAACTCTTGCCTCCCCTTACCCCACGCAAGCAGCCTCCACTAGAGAGAGCTGGAGTATGTGGGTGAGTCTGGGGATAAGAAAGGTGCTTGGAGGATAGCCCCAAGCCTTCTGGCCAGGACAGGTAACAGACAACTCAGAAAGCCCTCTTTGTCTGCCCTTCCCTACAACCCCACATGGTCACCTTGGCCTTGGAATGCTAAGGGACTTTGAAAACCAGCAGATTGGCCCTCGTCCTTCATGTGCCTTCCTCCCTCATCCTCTACTGTCCTAAGCCCCCCAGATTAGCAAGAGCTTCCCAACCTGGGCAAAGCGCCCACCTGTAGATTAGCGTCTGGGGAGGGGGGCCACGCCAGTCACAAAGGGAGCTGAGAACAATGAGGGAGGCCGGGCCTCGAGTCAGCCCCAGCTCTGGCCCAGACACAACTCCCAGCACAGATAAGTCCCCTAAACCCCCCCGGAGCCAGAGTCTGAGCCTGGCTGAGTCACCGCAACAGCCACACTGTGGGTGGGAGACCCAGAATTCAGCTTCTCTCAAACTCGTGTCCTGATGCTCTCTCTCCCCTGTCCCCTCCAGCCAAGGCCCCCTCCCCCACTGCGGCCAGCTCTGCTCCACCCCGAGTCACAGCTTCAACCCCAACGCCCAGGACCCAGCAGCCTGGGGAGGCGGCGGGGGGAGGAGACAGGCTGAGAGCTGTGGGAAAGCCTCCAGTTCCAGAGAAAGCGCCATCCCACAGCCTTCCTCACGAGACACCAGGCTCAAGTCCCTGCTTCGGATTGTCACCTCCATGTTAAAGTCTGTCCCCAGCTCCACCCCTCTCTACTCCTTCCCTCCTGACTCAGTTTCCTCGTATCATCTCCATTTCTTTTTCCACATTGACTTTGGTCCATGCAAGGCCGAAAAGCATTGGTCTTCTTCCCCTCTGGACCTGCTCCTGATGGTGGCAGACACCCACCCCTGCAAGTCCCCAAGAGTGGATCCTGCACTGTGGACTTCTCCCCAGTCTCTCTGGGGCTCAGGCTCTGGGACTGAGGTCCTGGAGCTGGTGCTGGCAGGCTGGGGGAGGGGGCTGGGGGCGGAGCAGGGCTTCCCTAGGAATCTCCAGGGCAGTGATGCGGCCAGCAGGCAGCCTCTGCTCACTGGTGGGTTTTTGTTGTTGTTGCTGTTGTTATTTTTGTTTGTTTGTTTTTGCCTGGATTTGGCCAGCTTCTGCAAGGAAGGGCTTGCCTCTCTCTGTCAATAGGAGTAGAAAAGCCGGGTTGGAACCCCTCCCTTTCTAGGAAAGCTGCCCCAAACAGGAAGACAGACTCCAGGCTCCAGAGCTGCACTCACTGATTCTGCAGGGTCCTCCGTGCCCAGGATTCCACTAGGGAGTGGGGGGTTGGGGTGGTTATCTCCCAGATTTGGGTCTCGAAAGCCCCAGGGCAGCAGGTGGGGGAGGGAGGAGGGTGAGGACCTCACCCGGAAACTCATCCCATTAAGGAGAGACAAAGAGCCGTGGTGTCGCAGGCACCTCCCCAGCTGGGCTCCTCTCCCTGTCAGGGGTGGGGCCCGGCCCTGGGGCTCCAGCCCTAATTGAGGTGGGGGCAGCACAGATCCACCAAAGGACCAGGAAGGCAGCATCCTAGAAGATCCTGGGGTCCCCACTGAGAGAGGAGCTAGAATGTTCCTCCCCTCTCCCCTACTGCAGCTGGGCCGAGACTGACCTGCCCTTTCTGCACCCCAGCATCCCACCTCTGCCAGGGCCTGCACAATCTCACAGTTGGGATCTCAGAGAAGGCTCGTAGGGATCCTCCCATTCTAGCGCTTGGACTACTGAAGTTGAGTTTCTTAGTCACTTTTAGCCCCTGAAGAGTAGACATGAGATCAGAGCTCAAGACTCCTAACTTCCAGGTGTAAATATTTTTCCAAACATGAAACACACCAGCACCCTGGGCAGTTGGAGGTAGGCATCCTGAAGCAGATGCCCTACACAGAATAGGGGGATAGGGCAGTGGAATTGCCCCTGCCCATCTGACCCTCAGGCTAGGTCCCAGATCTGAATCCACAGCCCTCAGAACACCCTGCAGCTTACTGCAGCAGCACAATACAGCAAGGGCAGGCGGAGTGGGACCCCAACTTCCTGGGGAAATCCTGGTTCCAGCCCTCCATCGCCATGCAGCCCGCAGCACCTCACAGTCCCTGAGCAAGCTGAGCATCACTTCCTCACAAGACGGGGTCTCCTTTTCCCTTCGCTGGGCTTTTTTGACGGTAGTTTTGTGGCACAAACCCTGCCGCATCTCCTGAAGCTGGCAGCCTGACTCTACCCAGTCTGCACTTGACTTTCCCATTCTTCCATGAAGCAGGAGCTGAGAGGCCAAGACACCAAGCCTGGTCAGGCTTCCAACGCGGGGTTATCTCACAGCTGTCATACACCTATCTACTTCTCTCTGCGATGCTGTCTGTAAAATAAGGTAGATTTGATCCCTTCCAACTTGAGAGGGCACAACTCCATGCCTTAGGTGTAGACAGATCCTACAGCAAAGTTCTTGATGGGGAGGGGGGATCCCTGGCCTCAGCCACCAGACCTCATCCTCTTGATCTAAACAAGTTAAGTTATCTGGAAAATGTGAATGAAGACATGAGGAATAGGCAAGGAAGGGGTTGGAGCTCAAAATCCTGTGATTGGAAACTGGGCCAAGGACTCTTCCATGAACAGATCAGAATGGGGGCAGCCCTGACCCCCACCAGAACATGCATCTGAGCCTTGCTCCGCTCGCATGACCTTCAGTTGGGATGGGGGCCACAGCTGGGGCCTGCTCGGCCACTGAGCCTCTCCTGGTGCTGTCTGGTGTGAGAATCAAACTGTCCCATCCATTTCAGGCATCATCTTTCCCAGCAGAAAGCTCTCTCAGTTACTCCTCACCCTGATAACAGCCTATATGCATCCCACTGTGCGTGTGTGTGGGGGGGGGGACCACCGTACATGTGCATGCACGCTCGTGTGCACACACATACACGTCTCCCTTCACTCTGAAGACTATAAATCTCTACAATTTATTTCTGCTGTATGTGCAGTAGACAGGCAGGTGAGGAGTAACAAACACAAGGCATCTAGTTGAGAAAATGAGGGACAGCAGTTGAACAAGAGAGGACCACACCCTATCCTGAAGGTTCCCTACCTTAAACCCCACCATCCAAGCTACCCCCATGACCATCCCACATGTAATAGGGTACCCAGGGAATGAGAGGGTCAGAGTAAGAGGAAAACCAGCTTCCCTGCTGCCCCTCAAACAGGTGCCTGCAGCCCAGCCCAGCATGAAAAGAAGAAAAGGGGAGATAAATACCCCAGCCACTCCCTGTACACCAGGCTTCCTGCAACCCAGTGACTGATGAGACCAGCTCAGCCCTGAGTCAGCCCCAGATCCACACAGCAGTCCTGGAGCCCAGGGTAGGGGCAAGGCCAAGGAGCCCTCTGGAAATCCTGGACTGAGCAGGGTCCTCAGTTGCTCCACCTCCCTGCCCACCTGCACTGGGTCACCTTTCCAACAGAAACAGCCTGGACCCAGGCAAGCCAGGCTTTGACAGAGGGAGTTGTCCACTGCCTGTCAGAGTGACCTGGCCTGGGGGCAAAGAGGGGGGTATGAAGGGGAAGGGCCACACTGGCTTTGTAGAGTGCAGAGCTGGTAGCTGCTGGCGTGGAAAAAAGGAATAGTTCCTCCGTCCAGAGCATAAAAAGAGATAATACTTGTGTGTGTGTGTGTGTGTGTGTGTGTGTGTGTGTGTGTGTGTGTGTGTGTGTGTGTGTCCAGGCCAGGTTGGGCTCAGAAGCAAGGGTCCTGATGACTCAGGCAAGTCCTACCTGGAAAGGATGCCAGGAGCAGCAGCAGCAGCCAGGCCTCAGGCCCCCACATCTCGGCTCCCAGGGCCAGGGGCAGCAGTTGAAAGGCAGACCTGTCCAGCGTTTCTGAAGTTCCACCGAGTTCTCCCTGGGAGCCGGCTCTAGAGCTGGATAAGGCACCGACCCAGAAGGCAGGAAGCTGTAGACAAGGCAGGAAGCCACAAAGCCACCGCCAACTTGCCTTTCCCACTCGGGTCTCCACTAGGGGACCCAGCTCTGTTCCACCCACCCGGCCACAGCTGCCCCCCAGAAAGGCCGTAACCGGGGAGCTCCGAGCTCCCCCAGAGCTGCTTCCCACGCCGTGGCCAACAACGACGGCAGAAACTTGGGAACCTGCTCAGCAGGTCAGAACAGGTGCGTCTCCGGGGGCTGGGCCTGGCACGGAGACTCAGGAGCCACCGCCCCCACGGCCTGGGCTGGCTAATGGGCGCCAGGGAGGGAGGAAAGGAGGCAAGGACCTGGAGGGGGGTGTGCGGTGGGATTCCATCCTTGGCTCCATGCTTTACCTGTGGGTGCGTGGAGGGGGGCTCTGAAGGGAATGGCAAGGGTGGAGAGGTGGAGGGGGAGGCCTTGGGTGTCTTAGAAAGGGAGGCATTGGGCCAGGCCAGGATGAAAAGTGACAAGACAACCCTTGTGGGCTGAGGGGGACCCAAGCCCGCTGCCTCCTGGTGGTGGTGGTGGGGGGTGTGGGGTTTTGACAAATTCCCCAGTCTGCTGAAGGGGCTGAGTTTTGAGGCTCTGAAATCAAAGCCACCCATACACCTCAACCTTCAGATGAGAATCCAGGGGCTCAGAAAGTGGGTACATTTTGTTCAGACCCCACTGTCCATGAAGCAGGGAGCTGATCAAAGAGCTTTCAGAAAGAGTTCAAGTGACCCCCACCCCTTCCAGCCCCAGTCCTACGTCCAGAGGAGTCAACTGACCAAAGGAAATGACCCCCACTCCATCCGCGGCACCTGCTGTAAGCCTTCTCCTCTTTTAAAGCTGACCTCAAATGCCACAGCACCTACAAAACCTTCCCAGCTCCTCCCCACCCCCCAAAATTAATCTTTCCCTCTTCTATTCTTCCTCGATCGTTGCTAGTCCCTTTATTATAGCATATGCACTCATAATTTGTGCATACCTTATCTCCTTAATTAAATTGTAAGCTTCAAGTCAAGAAACATTGATTGAGGGCTGCCGTGTGCCAAGGATTCAGAAAATTTGTTCAACTGGGGGACAGGACGTGATTCCTAGGCTGTGCATCCTCTGAAAGTGGAAAGTGTTAGTACAGTCCCCGGCACTCCACTGGGATGGAACACATTTTTCATTAAAGTCAGCAGTGTCTGAACAAACGAGTATCGGTAAGGAATAGGCGTTACAATAGGGTCAGTAAAACGGGTTGCAGCCTGTGCCTTAACACTGCCTCTGGACCACGGCCCCAGCACTGGCCAGAAAGCCCAACTCCCTGCGGTGACCACAGCACTGATTGCTTTTCTGGGTTGCATATCCTGCTGGTCAGGGATAGCCCTCAGGACCAAGCAGAATGCCCAAACTCCTCAGTTTCTTTCCACCTCCTCCTCCTTCTCCTCCTTGGCAAACCCCTTCCCCTCTTCAGGACTCAAGTCCCCACCTGTGCCAGGGAAACAGCCCCACCCCGATGCTGCTTTGAGATCCGTTCTGGCCAGGGCGGGGTAGGGCCAGAGGAATGGGAGGGGGAGCATCCTGTGTTATAATTATAATTATCGCACCTTGGATCCTATCACCTGCTTTCAGAGGTGCTCCTTTCCTTCCCACGGACTTAGCCCTCCAGGCTCAGGAAACCACGGGAGAAACTGAGGCATGGGGGTGGGAAAGCAGTTCAGTTGGTCTGCTTGGGCCTTTCCATTCACAACATAGCCCTCCCAGCTAAGTGCCAGGGGAGCCCCTTGCTGCCTGCCCCCATGGTAGCCCCATGGAACCCCACACAGAGGTAGAAACAACCACTGGCAAGTGTTGCAGCCTTGGCCATGCCCATTCTCAAGTGCGGATTTAAGTCCTGTAAGCACCAAAGGTGGCTCTGAAGTAGGGGTCAAGGGAATCAAGAGGCCTGAGAGGGTCAGGTATCCCCCCATACCAAGTAGGCTCTCCCTCTGTTCCCTAACAAATGCCTGCATCCAAGTCTTGCCTCCTCACTGTCTAAACCTCGTATATCTAACAAGGGCCATGCTTTGGGGGAACAGACTGTCATATTTATGCTTTTTTTTTTTTACCCATTTCTGGACCAAAGTCTGGAGAAGGCCCATTCAGTTCTGTGATTGGCCCTGGGAGAAAAAACAAACAAACATTGGTTTGGGGAAGGTATTCCAGACCCTGGCGTGCATCTTGAGTTTAGGTCTTCCTTTCATATCGAATGCCCATTCCCCAAATGCTTCACTCCCTACCTTCCTCCCAGTTACATTCCGGGCTCTAGGATTAGGAACAACTCAAGCCACAGTGGGGTGGGTGGCCTCTCCAGTGTGTGTGTTCGCGCGGCGTCACTGGGCGCATACCTGCTTGCAGGCTTTCATTCCACACTTGCTGAGTGCCACCATTGTGCACTCCCTGGGTTTCTGTGTGTGCCCATGGGCTGTCCGTGTGCATAGCCGTGGATGTTCACCACCTGTAAGTGTCGAAGCATCCACTTATAGCCATCTCTGTCCCTGTGACAGGCTGCACAGCTAAGCCAAACCGGTTGGAGTGGGTTGTGCTGAAATTTTTGTTTGTGTCAATGGGACTTGAGGTGAGTCAGGGAGGGACGAAGCTGGGTGGAGTGGTGTGGGGGAGAAGAAGAGTGAGAGTGAGGGTCAGGTGGAGGGAGTGGGGGAGGAGGCGGGCTCAATAGGGAAGGCTGAGGGATGGGCTGTCAGGAAGACAGATTAGGAGCAATAGATGAAGATCATTTGTCTGATTCCTGGGTCAGAAAAAAGCCAAGGGCTTGGGGGAAACCCTTGGCCTTGTGGGGAAGGAGAATAAACAATAAATCAAACTATGATCCACTTCTTGCAACTTTGTCTCCACGTGCTAACTTCCCTGCGTTGGTTTCTGCAGTCTGTGCGATATATGGATATAGGATTAACGTGGCAGAAGATTATTCTTATGTGCCTGGATCCCATCACCTAGGACTGATGTAATTGTGCTTCCAAGTCACTACTCCTGCTCCCCACCTAGAATGTTCCCACCTATGGTGGGATGGGGAGACCCCCATCTGTGACTCAAGGCCCCCAGCAGCTTTCCTGCAGTGGCATCTCGATTCCCAGGAGATTCCACGTAACCCTAGCCATGCGCCTTGCCACTTTTGTTGGCCTATCCTGCAGGCCCACTGATTCCCCAATATTCAGCGTTATCTTTTTAGGATACCTACTTTTCCTGGGTTGCCTAACAGCCCTGGGAGCTCGGAGGAAGAATCTGTTTGTTCCTCAAGGTCCCTAAACAGAATGGAGTGAGCCACCAGGGAGGAGGTGGCTGCACATGATACATTTGGGTCCTGCTTCTCAGTAGGCTGAGGCGTGAGCTCTCATGCCATGAACTCATCTGTATCAACACACCACCATGAAATCGAGGGCTGGAGCATGCGGTAAAAGACAAAGGCCTTTATTCTATGGCCCTATGCCTCTGTCCCTTTTTACAAGGTTCTTAAAATAGCTCCTCACTGGTACAGGATGGGTAGAAGACTACATGGATATCAGAGTCTTCCAAGCGGGGACCAGAACAGCAGAAGATGCAGTAGCAAGAGGAAGTCACAGAAAAACCCAGAGGGTGTAATCTGGTGAGAGAATAGAGCCTAGTAAGGACTCCAGCTTGTGCTCCCTGTCCCCAGGCTTGACCACAGAAGCAGCGAGGGCTCCTCCCAGCAGCCTGCTTGTTGGGCAGCACGTGAGCAGCCCCCAGGGCCCAGCCCTGCCTGCAGAGTCTGCACCACCCGCGGCATCTTCAGGTGACATCAGTCCTCTGGAACTCTCACGTTCATCTCTGAGCATCCGGCCTGGATGCTGAAGGAGTAGTTCTCCTACAGACCCAAACCTGCCACTTGGGGTCCTGACTCCTGCCACCAGACAACTCAGCTCCTCCAGGGGAAGCCCTCCCTACCCCCTACCCTAGTCCATTCTCATTCCCGGGCCAGGCACTGCCATGACAGCACAGTGGCCGGGCTTGCAATATGGGACTGTGGGTTAAGAGGAGACCCTGGGAGACAGGGTCTGTGAGAAGCCTGGGAGAGATGTGAGCACTTGGAAGAGGAGGCAAGTGTTAAAGAGATCTGCAGGGGAAGAAAGGAAGCATCTGGAAGATTTTAGAGGGGAAGGAGCTGGGATACAAGCAGCCAGTGGGAACTAGAGGGAAGGAGTGGGAACTTGATGCGCCTGCGCTAGGAGAGTGATTTTTCTTTTGAGATTTACTAACACAAGATGACTTCTCTGTGTCCCAGAATTATTCCTCTCTCTGTCTTTTTTTTTTTTTTTTTTTAAGATTTATTTATTTTGGGCCCAGCTCGATAGTGTAGTGGTTAAAGTCCTCACCTTGCCAGCGCGGGGGTCCCATATGGGTGCTGGTTCCAATCCTGGCGGCCCCACTTCCCATCCAGCTCCCTGCTTGTGGCCTGGGAAGGCAGTCGAGGACAGCCCAAAGCCTTGGGACCCTACACGCACATGGGAGACCCGGAAGAGCTGCTGGCTCCTGATTTCGGACTGGCTCAGCTCCAGCTATTGCGGTCACTTGGGGAGTGGACCATTGGACAGAATATCTTCCTCTCTCTCTCTTCCTCTCTGTATATCCGCCTTTAGAAAGGCAGATCAGATTTACTAAGAGAAGGAGGAACAGACAAAAAGATCTTTCATCCGCTGGTTCACTCCCCAGATGGCCACAACATCTGGAGTTGAGCAGATCTGAAGCCGGAAACCAGGAGCTTCTTCCTGGTCTCCTACATGGGTACAGAGTGCCAAGGCCTTGGGCCCGTCTTGACTGCTTTCCCAGGCTACAGGCAGGGAGCTAGATCAGGAGTGGAACAACCAAAACAAGAACCAACAAATGGAAGATCTCTCTAAAAGAAAATCCACCCCCTAATCAGTGCTCAGGGATCATCAGGTAGGTGTGTAGTTGCCTTGCTTGGGAGTCAGGATGTGGTGCAACTTTAGAGGTGCCCTAC